TAAGCCAAGGAGCGTTAGTACGTTCAAAAGTTGTACATTGTCATCATATTCTGCTTCATTTAATGAGAGTATTACTTGGGTCTCTTTAATAACGTATTTTCGTTTTCGTTGTTGTGTGAAGATAGTAGCAGAACGAGCTATATCCACCTGTTTATCAACATCATTCAAAATTGCTAAAAGAAAATCACTCATAGAAGGATGGTGGTTAAGTTTTTTCTGAATTAATAATTGAAAAATTAATAATTGATCTTCATTTTCTTCGTCCTGAGCTTCTGGTTGCTGCAGTTCAATTAAATCAGAAGTATCATTAATTTTTAACAGTCTTTTTCGAGTTTTTTGTAATTTTGCTAATGTTGCACGTACATCCATTTACAGATGAAATTCTAAACTAAGAGAACTAAGAGAACTAAACTAAGAGAACTAAGAAGGTAATTTAAAAGATTTTAGCACAATTTTTTAAGAAAAGCAAAAAAATTTTTATATTTTGAGCTTTTTTACCTGTAAATATATTTTAAGCGTTTGATGTTTTAAGAAAATTTATTTTGAGCTTTTTTACACGTAAATATATTTTAAGAGTTTGATGTTTTGAGCGAATATATTTTGAGCCTTTTTAGCCGTCTAGATATTTTGAGCGTTTTTACCCGTCTTGATATTTTGAGCTTTTTTAGTCGTCTAGATATTTTAGCGTTTGATGTTTTAAGCGGGCACGCCTTTGGCCCAGTTGCGCTCTCCCCAAATTTCCCACACACTCTTAAACACATTTATTACATAGATCGTTGCGAGCGCAGTTTTCTAGAAAATTTAACCGAATAAATAGTAAACGGTTTACCCAACATCATCAAAAAATGTTAAATGTATTATCATTATTGTTTAATTTTCTCTATAAAAGTGATCACAATTTTGTGTTTGTTACAGTCACGTTAATTTTTATTACTTTAATTTTATTCTCATTAATATTTTTTCTAATCATCTCTTCGCACTTTTTATCAATCTATTTAGTTATTTTAGCAATTTTTCTAATCATTTTTGGCTTGAATGAAGAATACTACTTTTCAATCAATTATAATGAGTGAGAAAGAACGTTAGAGTCTAGTTCAATCAAATATCATGACAAAGAATATTGGGGAGATACTTGGAAAATTCAGGTTTCTGATGGGAATCTAGTAGAAATCGGAAATTTTAAAATCTTGATTTTGGTTGAGGACCTTGACCAGATTCTTGACCTTGAGTCAAGGAAAAATCAAGGAACACTGAAAAATACCTTTATTTGACTCTGGATTCCAGAGAAATCAAGGTCTGGATCCAGGCCGATCTCTATGTTTTAATTTAAATTTTAGCTATTTTTTATTTTAAGGGCAAGCTATATTTCTAAATTCTCAGTTTATTTACAAAATCAATCAACTAGAAATAGTCATTTATCTTTTCAAAAAACCTTCACAAATTTTGTTGGAATAATACTATTACAATCAAAACAATTTTTTACAAATCAAAGCCTCACATCATTCATTCTTTTGTTTTTCACATTTTATCAGACTAAAAGCTTTAAAAAAATTTTCTTTCAATTTTTTCATTCTCTATTACACACATACAAATATACCACACACACATGGTGACACTTGTTGTTTTCATTTCCAACACAAAATCTGTTAGTTATATAAACTCTGTTCGTTTTTAACCAGTTTGTACTTTATACTTTTGTTTATATTTCATCATAATTACTAAATTTGGATTTTTGTCTTCTATAAAAACTAAAAAGTAAAGTCCATGTTTATCAAGTTTTTTTGACCTTTATTTTCCTTTTTACACAAAAATTCACTTGTTGCTGTAGCTACTAAGGTTAGCGGATAGTTGGAAATCTTCCGATAACTGGATCCAATATCCGAACCGAAAATTTTCGGATACCAAGCCTTTTTCGGATCCGGATCCACCAACCTTAGTAGCTATCATTACATAAGGGATGTGACGGATTACCTTAACCCGATCGATTAGAATTCTCAAACTTGATCTAGGAAAATTTATAAAACTCGATCAAGCTTTTTTCCCAACTCGTCCCATCCCTAATATATCAGGAATGGAACGGGTAGGGAAAAAAGGGTACTTATTCCCTCCCCCAATCCGTGTTCAAGTTGATGTACGAAATTGTCAGTCATTTTTTCCTCAGTCATTTTTCTCCTCTCGTTTCAACCTAATATATCCAATCAAACAGCAAATTTCAAAAAAATTATTTTTTTCTTAGACTCAATTTAATTTAATCCAAAGAACGCATACTTTGTTCTTTAAATATTGAAAATTTATATGTTAAGTGTCTCGATTCAATCTTTTTTTTTTTTAAATTTTCACCATCCCTTCTCTCTCTCGTTTATTGTATTTAAAGCTCCCACTAACTGACACACAACTTTTAAAGTTTTGGTTTTCACATAACTTGAAAGGGGGGCTTTGACGAGAGGGAGGGGAAGGAGAGGGGGAGGGAGGGGAAGAAAGGATTGATCAATGAAAAGAAAATTTTTTTTTGAGCACCAGAAGCTCTTTTCTTCTTCCTCTTCCGCTTTCTCCCTGTCTGTTTAAGCTTCCCAAAACTATTTGTTTGGCTTTTAGCTTTTCTCATTTTTCTTTTTATATTAGCTGACAAAAGCTTTCACCTGTTTTCTCTCTGTTTGTTTAGAAAATTTAGAAAAAGAAAGTTTTTTTGTTAGTTTTGAATTTTTATTTTTTTGTCGTTGCGCTTCTTTAGAAATTAAACAGAAATATTGGAGAGAGCTTCCAATTTTTTTCTTTTCTCTTAAATGATCGTAGATCATTTAAGAGTCTGTATCTAGATTTTTTGTCGTGTTGAACTTGAATTTTATCTGTTCAACACCGGAAAACGTCTCTATCTTATATTCTACTTCTTCTGTCTAGGGTTGTAGGGGCTTGGAAAATCTGTACATTCCTAACCGAAAAATCATCGGTTCTTCAGCTCGATTCAGTTCAAAACCGACAACATTACTCTTGTCTAGGGTTTCGGTTCTGGACTGAACCAAAGGACCGATGATTTTTCGATTCGGTTCTTCGGTTCGGTTCCGGATATCCAAAGATCTTCCAAGAACCAACAACCCTACTCTCGTCTATAAAATTGTATTTATTATGTTTTTGTGGTTAAATTTCTTAGATGGGAGATGGAATCATGGAATGGAATTATCTTGGAATTCCAAATCATCTTGGAATCAGCCCAGACCGAAGCACAACTGATTGTGCCAACATCCGACCCCAATTATGCATTCTTTTTATTCATTTATGTATATTCTTTCTTCAAGTACGAACACAACAGTAATAAAAATAAAATTTCACATTTCTACAACTTTTCAATTAAACTCCCCCTTCTATCCATTAGTGCAATGGGCCAGAAGCAGAGCAATTTTTCCTCATTTTTTAATTTAATTTTTTTTAATCAAAAAGTACATACACACATTTATTTTTTCTTGTTTACCATGTTCTCTAGACAAATTTTTGTTTGTCTTTAATTTTTTTTGAACAAAAAATTTTTTGTCCTCTTGAATAAAAAACAAAACAAAATTTAACGCCTGATCGCCTTCTCTAACTTTTTTTTTCTTTTTAATCTTCTAATCATCCATTTTGACGTTAACACGTGCCCCCTACCGACTACTTAACCTTTCTAATATTTTCAATTTTCCTTCACTTTGAATTTTTGCTTCTTACTCTAATTATAGGTTGGAGAGGGTTGGTTGGGCGCGAGGAACGTTTGGGCGCGGGTCTGGAAAAATTTTCTTGGGATGTCACCTAAATTTTTAAAAAATTTTTCGTCTATTCCTAAGAGTATTGACTACTTCTTCCACAAATTTCAGAATTTTTGGTTAAACATTTTCCAAGTTATTATCGAAGAAGGCAAGAAAAGTGGTCTTTTTTTGTGTTTTTCTGCCTTTATTTTTTAAAAAGGAGGTCAACCCAAAAGATCACCACTCGAAATTAAATCCTGAAGGTGTTGATCTTTTGGGGTACCCTTGAAAATTGAAAAAAAAATTCTAAAAAAATTTTTCGGGGATTATAAATTTATGTTAAATACTTTTTTTGAAGTTTCCCCCTACCATCCCCTTCCCTTCTAAATTTATTCGTCGATCCATTTTTCATTTTTTTTCCATTTTTACACCAGTTTCCCCCCTGCACATTTCTCTCCACGTTGTATAATAAACTCCATTCCTCTCACATCATTATTCAAAACTCTTTATCTTTGAAACAAACACATTTTGTTGGAGTGTTCTTTGTTGTTGATAAGGAAGGAAAAGAATGTTGGGGGTCCAAAATATAAAATTACAAAAAGGGACGTTAGAGTCTGGACAGGATTTTGTAGGGGGGACTTGACTGTGTTCAAACCTGCATAACTTTTGAAGGGCCAAACATTTTTGAAAGATTTTGGTGTTGTTGGATAGAGGAGAAAATTTGCTACAAAATAGGGGGAAAAGTTGAAAGTTTGGTTAAGTGGGAAAATTTTTGTGGTCGAAAAACTGAATTTTTTAGAGATTATTTTTAAGCACCTTTAGACGGTTTTTTGCCCCTAACTTTTTTTACCTAATTAATTTTATATTTATTTTTGTTGTTTTTTGTAGCAAATTTTCTCCTCTATCGAATGATACCAAAACCTTTTTTTAATCTTTACATGTTCAAAAGTTATGGAGGTGGGGAGAGGTTGTGTTCTTCACCTTATACTTCAATGTTCTTTGATTTAAAAATAATTGCCTTTTTAATTTTTATTTTTTTTTGTTTTTAATTTATTTTAATGATAATATAGGGCTCTTAATTAAAAATGAGAGCACTATCACATTAGTAATTTCATTTAAAAAATTTTTTTTGCTTGAATGCGCGCCCTTGCCCCCTTATAAATTCTTTGATCAGTCTTATTAATTAATTAATTTATTTTTTTTATTTTATGACGAAACTAAAATTAATTTTAATATTTTTTAGATACAAAAATATTCTCTAAAAGAGAAAATTTAATTAAAATTTAAATGGCTCTAACTTTACCTTTACACTTTTTCGATGGCCTTTGCCGTCTATTGCCTCCACGTTTCTCTACAAATCCTTCTACAAGTGAACAGAATCGTTTAATTGAACATTTGGCTGTTCATTGCTCAATTTTTGATCAGGTTAATTTTTGGAGTTTTTGATAATTTGGTTTAGATTTTAACACTCACAAAACGGCCTTTTTAGCTTTATTCTACTTTAGGAGGAATTTGTGGAGATAGTATAAGGGTTATTTAATTAAAAGGATTGATGTTATTGGTGGTTGATTGGTAGTGGTTTTGGCTTGGTTATTTAGGGGTGGTGGTTCGAGTCCTTTCGAATGTAAACATTTTTTAAGTTACTTTAGGATTGAGTAAAAGTCCACTAAAATGCTTTTTTAGGGTTAAAAATTTTTTTTTAAATTTTTTATAAGGTCTGGACGCATTTTTTTGTTTAGTATTATTTAAATTCTCCTTATTTTCTCCTTATTTTTTAAAGATTCGTTGGCGTCGAGTCTCCAAAACCTTCCAGCGGGCTATTGATAACAGACTGCGTCAATTTACCCGAATCAATGTTCGTTGCTACAATGGACTAGCACAAATGTGTGAGGAATGTGAGGGAAGTGGATCTATTGGAGGGAAAGGTTTTTTCGGGATTTTTGACTAAAAATTTCTTCAAAATTTTTAAAGAAGGCTGTCTAGACTGGCATCCTTATGCAAAACTTGTACTTGTCCAAATGGGTGGAAATGAGCTTGGAATAGCTGTAGATACAAAAATGCGACATGGAGATGTGCTTGCTCTAGTTCAATTGTTAACAGCTTTTCGCCATTCTGTTGAGCAATTGTGTATGGATTCGCCGATTATTGAATTGCTTGTTTCACAGGTTTCTTTTTTTGTAGCAAATTTGTTATTAGGAGGACTTGGGAAGAAAGGATAGGGAATGGGGCGCATGTCTGGTGATTTCGGCAGAAGTGACGTAGGCGTGGTTAAATGGGCAGTGAGTGATTTAGGCAGTGAGGTGAATTGGGCAGTGAGTGATTTGGGCAGTAAACGTTTTTTAAAAAAATATTTTTCACATAAAAACAATTTGAGTATCAACAGAAAAATAATTATGCGTGATTTGGGCAGTAAATTTCATTCCTCAGGGCTAGGGCTCAAGTTTGTATTGAAATATATTTTTTTCTGAATATATTATGTCTCCGAGCTTGTGCTGATCATTTACACTTCAAGTTATACTTTTAAATTTGTGAGCATTATAGTTTTTTAAAAACAATAATTTACTGCCTAAATCACTCAAAATCTTATGATACTCAAATTGTTTTTATGTGGAAAATATTTTTTTAAAAAACGTTTACTGCCCAAATTACTCACTGCCCAATTCACCTCACTGCCTAAATCACTCACTGCCCATTTAACCACTGCCTACGTCACTTCTGCCGAAATCACACAGCACCATGGGGCGCATACCCCTTTGTCTTCCAGCCTTTTTCTTAATTTAGAAAAATTAGTCCAGGCAGTATGGCCTACCTTAGTTTTTGTTTAGTTCTTCCACCTTTACTGCAAGGACTATATCCCCATTAATTTATTCTAACCCTTAGTTAAAATCTTCTGGTAAACACTCTAGTTTCCGTCTTATGCCACTTGTACTGCTTGGAACCCTAATTTTGGAAATTGAAACCGTGGGTTAGTCATATGGACTGTAATTTGTTAGGGTGAGGAAAATGGAAGTATTTGGGTTTAGGAAGAAATGAATGGGAACTAGAGACAGTCCAAATTAGCGTGTGTCAATCTCCCTCATCTCTTGTTCTCCTGGTTTTTTTTAATTAATACGGGTTAACCTTTCTATATTATTATTTGAATTTGTTTGAGGGGTAATATTGAAGAGTATAGTCTGACCATTTTGTAAAAATATAGGGGGAAAAATAGGGAGAAAAAAAGGGGTCTATACTCTTCAATATTACCGTTTGAGGATTTTTAAACTTTTTTTTAGATAAATCGAAAGCAAATGAGTATTCTCTTAAATATGCTAAAGAATTCTCGAACATTTGTTTCTTCTCCTTGCAAAACTAGTCGAATGGGTGATGGAAGTGGAGGAGGTTATTCTGCTCATGATTTGGTTAGAGTACCGCCACCGCAGAGCGTTCCTTATGGACCTTTCTTTTCAAAATTGAAGAAATTAACTATTACTTCACAGGTTTGGATTTTATTAATGGACAGAGACCATAATTAGGAGGATGGGCTTGGTTGCTATAAAGAAAAGTGGTGTTGACAGGGGTTCCCTATCGGGATTTTGAAAATTTTCTCTCCAATAATGAGTTTCGAATTCCGACTTGAAAAAGTCCGGGTATCGTTTTTGGTAACCAAACTCATTTCTGATAATTAGGAGAGTATCAGGAATTGCACAAATCCATAGCAAATTACATTTCCAATCAATACTCTTCTTATTCCCACTGAATGAAACTCCGTATGTCCTTTCAACCCTACCTCTGGCTACTTTTTCTCAAAAACCTGAAAGTTGGACAAGACCTAAAAGGAAGCCATATAAGTACCTGGAAAGGGGACTTGAACCAGTAGCTTCCCTTCTACCCTCTTAATTACCCATTTAATTTTCAGTCAAACCAATTGGAGCATTTATCTCGTCTACTTACTTATGCTGTGGGTGTTGACTTTCTCTATGAAACCTCCAATATAGACTTGCTTTGTCTCAAAATTTGTATTGGAAGAGGTCAATGGTCTATGCAAAAACCAAGTATTCGTTTGTTTTGTCACGTTACTCGTTTTCGTCAATGGACAGAAGCTGGGTCTTTAGGTGAACGTTATTTTCAACAATTTACTGATTCTTCTTCACATTTTGGTAATAATGGAAGAGGAGGAGGGGGAAGATATCGAATTTAAATTTAAAAAATTTAAAAAAATTATTTAGGAAAAAATTTGAGCTTTAAAAAAATTATTTTAGAAATTTTAAAAGCTTGAATTAAGGTTAAAATATCTCAATTATTTTGAAAATAAAAAATTTTTGGAGTTTAATAGGAAGGAATTCTGGGTTGATAAGTCATCAGAATGATTAATTTATGATTTTAAAAAAAGAGGGAAACGAAAGGGTTCGAACCCGCACCCCTTTCAAAAATATTTTTTAAAAATATCCCACTTAACCAGCGAGTACATTTTTGGTTAAGTCTTTAAAATTGGCATCAGAATTATTTTTGATGATTTTTAAGATTCAAAATAATTTTTTAGAAAGTAAATAAGTTTAAATTTGAGTGGTTGAACACTATATTTGGATAATTAATTTCTTTTTTTTTGTTTTTCGTTAAAAATTAAATTTTTATTTTATTTTTGTCATATTTTAGGAATCAATGGCATTTTTTTTGTTTTTTATGATTTTTTAAAAACAGGGAAACGAAATGGTTCGAACCCGCATCCCTTTCAAAAATTTTTTAAAAAATATCCCACTTAACCAAAAATGCATTTTTTTAAATTTTTGAAAATTTTTTGAAATTTTTTGGAATTTTTTCTTAAAAACGTCTATAAAACATGCCATTGATTTTTAATTTTAATTTTTTCAAATTTAATTTTAAAAAATACTTTCGATATTTCATTTAAATATTAGCTTTTTTAAAAGTTTTGTTGATCCTATAAATAGTAATAATTAATTATTTTACACATTTTTAGTGTAGAATTTTATTTTTTTTCCTTTTTTTGTTTTAATTTTTAGCTCTTTAAAATTTTTTTTAATTTTTCGATGACCTTTTATTATTTATTTTGACTTAAATAAAAATTGACCCAAGTGGCCATTTTAATTTTTAAGAGCTTTTTAGGGATATTAATTAATTTTTATTTTTGTTTTTAGCTCTCAAAAATCAAAAAAATTTTCGAGAGTTAAAAATAATTTTTAATAATTGTTGCCAAAAAAATAATGCAATCTCAGCAGCAATTTTTTGTGTTTACCCCTTAATTAATTAATTAAATATATTCTACACACACTTTTTAGTGCTCAAATTTTAAAACATAAAATGAATAAATCTTTAAAATTTTTTTTTTATTTCTAAAAAAGGTTTGGGTGTGGGGTCCATGGATGAGGCAAAAATTCTCCCTCTTACCTACTATTTTTCAATTTATTTTTTTTGTTTCCGTTCAAAGCTCCGAAAAAAAATTTTATTTCTAAAAAAGGTTTGGGGTCCATGGAAGAGACAAAAAAAAATAAATTAATTTTATTGTTAGGAAGAAGAGAGATCTAGTTGGCTTGAAAGTTTACTAATAATCAAGGGTTTAGGCAAGGTAGTGAGCGAAGCAGGATTTTGATGCTTGCTCTCGGGGCTAAACTTTTCTCTCTCCCTTGCCTTATTTTAAGTTTTCCTTGGTTAAATTAGTTTTAAAAAATTTTTCCTCAATAGAATATTTATTTAATCAACAATCTCCCCTCTTACTATTTTTCAATTTATTTTTTTGTTTCCGTTCAAAACTCCGAAAAAATTTTTTTTGATAAAAAGGTGAAAATAAGAGGGATGTGTACCTACCTATTTTATTTAATATTTAAAAAAGAACAAAAAAGCATATGATGCTTTTTTTTAACAAAAGAGAAGAGAGATTTCTTAACTAAAAAATAAAAAAAAAATAAATTAGAACCATCTGTTCCGAAGAAAAAATTTTTTTCTCCTTCTATAGGGGTGAACGCCTGCTTTGGGAACACATAGAGAAGAAAATAGGAGAAAAATATTTTTTTCAGTTATTATTTTTTTCTATGTGTTCAAAGTATTTTTCAACATTTGTTTAATATTTTTTATTAAAGAAATTATTTTTTAAACTAATTTTCTAAAAAGTGACATCAGCTGTCTATAGAATATATGGGGGTGTTGACCTTAGAAAGAGGGGGTAGAGAGATGAGATTTTCCTGTTGTTTTTAAATTTTTTTTCTTTTTGTCCTGACTTGAAGGAACACTATATTGGCAATGATTTTATAAAAAAATCTTGAGAACAAAAATTCCAAGCTAAAATGTAAGGGAAAAGAATGATCTCTCATTTAAGCTTTTTTAAAGCTTTAATCGATCAATTAGAAAAATACTTTAATTTGTATTTTTTGTGTTTTTAAATTGAAAATAAAATACAAATTTTCCGGAAAATACAAATAAATACAACTTTTCCGGAAAATACAAATAAATACAACTTTTCCGGAAAATACAAATAAATACAACTTTTCCGGAAAATACAAATAAATACAACTTTTCCGGAAAATACAAATAAATACAACTTTTCCGGAAAACACAAACACATACATTCTGTATTTTCATAAAAACACAAAAAATATTATTATTTTCCGGAAAATTTAATATTAGTATTAGTTTCCGGATAAGTTTATTCCCGTGTTTTACTAAAAACACACATTAATATTACCTTCCGGAAATTTCCGGAAACTACAATATATTATTTTCCGGAAAGAAGTATATGTATTTTCTTTATTTCCTAAAAACACAAACATAGAAATACCTTCCGGAAAATTCCGGAAAACAATAAAATATATTTCTTCATTGTATTTTCATAAAACACAAACACATACATTTCCGGAAAAGTTAATAAATTGTATTTATTTTGTATTTTTATCAATTTCCCTTTAAATATTACAGATTAAAAAAGTTTACAGTGCATGCCCACAACCATCTCAGTTAGTCCGGCTGTTCCGGTTAATTTCTTAGTAAGATATATTAACTTAATTTCTTCCCAGGACAAACTGGTTGTGAATGGTGTTGATCTAGTTAACGAGGATGAATTATCACCCTCCCAACATAGGGAACTTCAACGCTATATTGATGCAAACGCCCATTTGCTAGGATTTCTAGATAAGGAGAAGGAACAGGAAGAGGAACTAAAGAAAAAGTATCACGCCCAAGGAGAGCCTTGGAATATCCATAGATCGGTAGCCTGAAATTTCTGAAAATTTATTTATTTTCCCTTCAAACAGAACATTGGCTATGGAACCTCTCTCAGTGGTACAGGCAAAGGAGGGGCAAAAGGAGGAAGTGGAGGGGATGGTCTTAGTGCCTATGGCAATGGACGTAAACACCAACAAAATGGCGGCACCTCCCCCTTCGATGACCTCCTAGATTACCGTCCAACCTCAACAACACAATCCCTAAGTATCGGCACTCCAATGTCACTTTCTGATTATTATGGAGGACCCGGAGGGAAACGGAAAGGTGTGAGCTGGTCAGATGTTGTTGATCCTGACCATGCTATTGCTGGAGATGTGACTCCAACTACTACAACAGACACAACAATGCCTGCAGCGACGACTGCAAGATCTTATTCAGTGAGTATTAAAATCTCATTATAAGATGCCACTCAGAGCTTCAAAAAATTCATACCCTATAATGAGGTGTGTTAAATAGAGAGTATCGCTTAAGTAGCTCCCCACCCTGTGGACTGCAGCGACGACTGCAAGATCTTATTCAGTGAGTATTAAAATCTCATTATAAGATGCCACTCAGAGCTTCAAAAAATTCATACCCTATAATGAGGTGTGTTAAATAGAGAGTATCGCTTAAGTAGCTCCCCACCCTGTGGACAACCGACTTTTAAGAGGAAAATAGAATAAAACAGGACCTGGGGGGATCACTATAAGGGATCAAGAATCGTCTCTTATGATGAGGTGTAGCCTAAATAGAGGTTTCACTTAGAAAGAACCCCAACCCTGTGACCGCTCAAATTTAAAATTCATCTTTTCCCACTAGCCTAACTACTACCAGCAACAACACAGTGTCGGAGATTATTCCCCAACAAGGTATAACAACGGCAGAGATCCTTATTCTGCCTCTGGAGCAGAAGGGGACAGATATGGCAATCCAAAAATGTTTGCACGTGAACACAGCCCCCAAGGAAGTGGTTATTGGACGGGGAGTGGTTCTCCTTGGCCTGTTGGTACTTGGGAGCGTGGAAATTGGGACAAAAGTAAAGATAAGCAGTCGAGATGGCAGGACTTCCCAAAGACCGATTTGCCAACATACTCAGCATTGCCGCGAAGTATGGATGATTTTAATAGATTTCAATCACACGAACACCGTGAGGAGCAACTCAGAAAGAGCCAGGAACGTGATGAGGCTGTTAAATTTTATGGGTATGGAGACCATAGAGATTCCGGGTTGGAATTGAAACCGAAACGTTGGCAAGGGGGAGAGGTAAGACAATTTTGGCATTTTGAAAAAATTTCAAAATTGATATTTTGAAATTTTCGACATTTCGAAATATCCAAGAAATTTTCTTTTTTAAGGCTGTTACTGATCCAAATATTATGAAAAAATCGCTAAAACCTCGTCGTCTTTTCTACTCTCCGATCGGTGATGGAGTGGTTGGTTGAATTTAACGTCACCCAAGAGATCACCACCCTCATTGCTAATAATAGGGTGTTGGTCTTTTGGGAGGACTTGTTAATTTTCTATTTCAATTATCAAATCTAGGTGGAGGCTGACGGAATAGAAATGAAATATCCCCCAAGAGATCTAACTCCACGTCGTTATGTTTACCATCAACGATTTACAGAACAAGATCCTGGTGCGCCAGGTATACGTGTCAGCGAAAAAACATGGCATGAAGGAGGTTCTAAAAAATATTTTTGTTTTAAAATCCAAAAATGTTTATAGGAGGAGATGATGGACCACAGGGCGCGACATTCCACAGTTGGCCACAAAGTCCAGATACTGGGGATGGTGATAGAGGGGAACGTGGGGGACCCCCTAGAGATGCTGGCGATGATGGGAGGGGTAAAGGAGGCCCTCCAGTAAAATGGCCGGCTGATGATTTGGATGATGGAAGAGGAAGGAAAAGGCCGAATGATGATGGTGGTGATAATGGGAAGAGAGGAAAGGGGTAAAAAATAGGAAATAAGAGGGTTGAGGGGGTCGTGGGTTCGAAACCGATCAAAGGAAATAATTTTTATTTTTACTTGTAAAGGCCGGGAGATGGACTTGGACCCTTGGGCAAGTTTCCACTGCTTGGTGATGACGATGGAAGACGCCCCAAAGGAGATGATTTGGATGGAGGCAAGGGAAGAGAAGGGCCTGCTGGAGGAGTAGGCGATAACGGGGGTAGAACTCCAAGAGAAGGATGGCAAATTGAATTTATATCAAATCCGCGTGAATGCATAAATATTTATGGAACTGACACGATTACTAATGTAAAGAAAAAATTTTGAAAATTTTCCAAAATTTTTTTGAAAATTTTTCAGATTTTCGATTTGGAGGATCATACACCCAAAACAATAACAACAATAAAAGAAACATATTCCCCAGCACCTCCAGATCTTCCTTTACATTTGGAAGATGAAGAAAATAGTAGGGAAGGAAAGAAATTTTGAAATTAAAATTTTATTTTGGCCAAATCTTACCTTTGTATTTTTAAATGCTAGAGAAGAGAGGGAGTATTAAAGAATGAGAGAGACACGAGAGAAAATTGGCAATCCCGGAGAATTGGGGTTTCTTCGAAAAAAAAGTTTAAAAATAAGAAAAAGGATTTTTCTAGAGTAAAAAAATATGCTGATTACGAATCTGAACTCGGATTTTGAAAAAGTCGAATCCCGGACCCGAACCAAATTTCGAACCCTGAACCCGAATTTCGAATATACAAATGATACCTCATTCGAAAGAGCTCATCGAGCTGCATCGAATGACACCAAAATCAACGAAATCTGACTTGATCGGACAAAGTTATGACAAAAAGTATACCTATGTGAGTACTGTAGGAGTCGGCGACTTATGTCATAACTTTGCCAAAATTTGATGAATCACTGTAATTTTGGTGTCATTCGACTCAGCTCGACGAGCTCTTTCGAATGAGCTATCATTTGCATAAACTTTTTTTACTCCAAAAAATCACCCTTATGGTTTTTCAATATTCCGGGGTCTGTATCTTGGTCCAATCATGTCGGATTTCATCGATTTTGGTGTCATTCGATGCATCTCGATGAGTTCTACCTGTATATGAAAGACTGACCATTTTGTACAATGTCCGACAATGTCCGGGGTCAAATTCCGAATTCGGGTCCGGGATTCGACTTTTTCAAAATCCGAGTTCAGATTCGTAATCAGCATATTTTTTTACCCTAGAAAAATCCTTTTTCTTATTTTCAAACTTTTTTTTCGAAGAAACCCCAATTCTCCGAGATTGCCAGAAAATTTATAAAAATAAACTTTCCGGAAAAACATAAAGAAAATACAAAATCAATAACAATTGTTTTATAAGAAAATACTTCCGGATTAATAAAAACAAATTTCCGGAAAATACAAATAAATTATTTTACTGACATATATTAAAAACCGGAATAGTCTTCCGGAAAAACTAAAGAAAATACAAAATTAATTAAAATTTATAAGAAAACACTTTCCGGAATAGAAATAATTTCCGGAAAATACAAAAATTACTAATAAATTGTTCTAACTAAAACACTTTCCGGAATAGTATTCCGGAAAACTTTTAATATAAATAAATTTCCGGAAAATACAAATAAATTATTTTACCTATATAATGAAAACCGGAATAGTCTTTCGGAAAAACCAAAGAAAATACAAAATTAAAATTTAAAGAAAAACACATTCCGGAATTAATAAAAATACATTTCCGGAAAATACAAATAAATTAACATAGTAGTCTAAAAACACATTTCCGGAATAATCTATTGTATTTTACAAAAATACAAGCCTCCATTAAAATCATTTAAATTCTTCCAAATTAGCCAATCTCGGAATTATTTTTGTATATAAACGAACACCCTCCAAAAACACATTTTCGTTCAAATATTCATTGTGATCATGTAAAAGTATAGGTGTATTAATCATTGGAGAAAAGCCAATAGCGGGAATTCCAGCCCCTCGGCAATATCTGGCGTCTGTTCCGCCAATAAATATTTCCTTTTGGAATTTACAATTTCTTAAAAAATTTTTTTTAATTTTTCCATTAAAAACACAATTTACTCTTCTTTAAAAACACTAGTCAAAGCATTCCACCAAGGATCGGAAGTGTCCGTAGGCGTTAGTTTGCGGCATAAACCTTTTTGTAAAAATTCATAAGTAACTCCCTTCCCTGCATTTTTACACCAATTTTTAATCATTTCTTCTATTGTCTATTTTATAAAATTAAAAATTTTTTTAATAATTTATATTTACATTAAAGTCGTCGGTCGGTGTAATGCGCATGTCAAAATCTGTGGGGTAAATATTTATGTATTTTTGTGTTTTATTTTATTTTTGTATTTTTCCGGAATGTTAATATTATTTTTTAGAAGGTTTGTATTTTCCGGAAAATTATATATTTTTGTGTTTTCCGGAATGTTCTGAAAAAAATATTTTATTTCCGGATTTGTGTATTCGCATAAGTATGTTTTCCGGAACTTTCTTGGATTAGTATATTTTGTTTTTTCTTTTATTTTTGTATTTTTCCGGAATATATTTTTAAGGAATGTATTTTTCCGGAATTTATGTATTTTTATATTTTCAGATTGTTTGTATTTTTCCGGATACTTATATTTTTGTATTTCGGCAATCCAGGAGAATTGGGGTCCCTGCGGGAAAAAATCTTAAAAATAAGAAAAAGGATTTTTCTAGGGTAAAAAAGTATGCTGATTACGAATCTGAACTCAGATTTTGAAAAAGTCGAATCCGAACCCGAATATAGGTCCTCGAATATCGAAAAACCATAGGGGGGACCAAGCTGATTTTGGGGTGAAAAATTCGAATATGCAAATAATAGCTTATTCGAAAGAGCTCGTCGAGCTGAGTCGAATGACACCAAAATCATCGTGATTGAACAAGATCGGACGAAGTTATACCACAAAAAACGAACAACGTATGCCTATGTTTTTTGTGTCATAACTTCGCCTGATCTTGATCAATTGCGATGATTTTGATGTCATTCGACTCAGCTCGTCGAGCTCTTTCGAATGAGATATTATTTGACCAATTTGCGCTCTGTTTATTTTTCGAAATTTTTCCCAAAATGTCAAATATCCGAATTTCGGGTTCGGGATTCGACTTTTTCAAAATCTGAGTTCAGATTCGTAATCAGCGTATTTTTTTACCCTAGAAAAATTATTTTTCTTATTTTTAAGATTTTTTTCCGCAGGGACCCCAATTCTCCTGGATTGCCTGTTTCCCCTTAATATATTCTTACAAGCAACAAATTCAGAAGGAATAACATTTGTTTGAACACCTCCCTCAACTTTACTCAAATTAATACTCGTCACATCGCCCAAATTTAATTTATCAGAATTTTCTTCCAACTTTTTTCTTTGTTGTTCACGAAAAGCATTAACAGATTGAAGAATTGAAGTCTTTAAAAAAATTATTTTTTTTTGTATTTTTTTGTGTTTTATTTGTATTTTCATTGTATTTTTTTGTATTTTCTTTTGTATTTTTTGTGTTTTTTTTTGTATTTTTTTTTGTGTTTTGTGTGTTTTTCTTTGTATTTTTCTGTATTTTCTTTGTATTTTTCTGTATTTTTTTGTATTTTCTCTTACCAATTTTGGCCCGGCAGAATTTTCAATAAATCGAGAACCGTGCCCAGGCGATCCAGGACATATTATTTTAAACCCTAAAAATTATTTAATTTTAAAAAATAATTTTTAAAAATTTTTTCTAACACCAAACACAACGTTCTGCATAAAATAAACGATAAACATCATTTTCACTTGCAAGCCCCTCATCCAAAACAAATCCAACATTTAGTTGCTTGAAGCAATCAGTCTCTACAAATTTTTCCATGCCATCATGACCACCGATTTCTTCATCTATCAAATTATAAGATATGGGCATTATGAAAAATTGACATTTCGAAACTGGGCATTTTGATACTTGGTCATTTTGTAATCTGACCATTTTGAACCCTGGGCATTTTAAATTTTTTGCCATTATGTATTTGACCATTTTAAATATGGGCATTTTGAATTTTGACCATTTTACAATTTGGGTATTTTGAGATTTACCATTATGAAATCTTACCATTTTGAACACTGGGCATTTAAAATTGGGTATTTTGAACTTTGGACATTTTGAAATTTGACCATTATGAACCCTATAAAAATTTTAAATACCTGGTCCCCACAGTATGTGAATGGTCCGAACAAAGGGCTTATTCTCATTCGAAGCTTTAAGAGCACGCAAAGCTTCAATATATTGAATACCAACGCATTTCATGTCCTCAAAAAAATTTTTTTGAAGAAAAAATAAAGGAAGTCTACCTGTGCCCCACGAGCAAAAATATCCCCCTTCTCGTCTTTAAAAGCCTCATAAGGAGGGTATGTCCAAAACTCCCCAAAAGTGGGGACAACATCTGTGTGGCAATACAACAAAATTGAAGGTAATTCGGGTCTAGTGCCAAACAAAGTCATTCCAACAAAAGGCTTTTTGTCCACACACTTGTTTAATTTATTTTAAATTTAATTCAATTTTCTCCCCAAAAAATTACCTCATACCCCCAAGGGGTAATTCCCAATTCTTTTGCATAATTAAATAAAAAGTCTCTACAGCCATCTAATTTTTTAAAAATTAAATTTTTTTAATTAAAATTAATTTTACAATAATCAGGATTTGGTTGTTCTGTATTTATTCTTAAAAATTCTCTAAATTTGGTCACAGCAATATTTTCAGTCATTTTATTTTTATTTATTTAGGAGAATAAATTATATTTATTTATCAGGGCAAATAGCAGCAGTATAATTTTATTTTTTTCTCTTAAAAAACGATAAAATAAATTAATCGAAAAATCATTCTATGAATTATTTTTTTGTATCATTTGACTAAAAATTCCATTTGGCCAAAAAATTCATTTGGGTCAAATTTTATTTGGGTCAAAATTCAATTGGTCCATACCCATTTGGTCACAACCACAAAACGCCCAGCTGATTAATTTTCGTTTTTTGATTTAATAAGGTTTTCAAAATTATATTAATTTTTTGTGTTTATATTAGCTTTGATTTTGTTTTTTATTTTTTTATTTCCGTTTATTGCTGCTAATAAATAACAAAAAGCAATAAAAATTGTTTTTGAGCAATTGCTCATTTTTCTCACATTGCTCAACAAATGTTCTTATTTTTTATGTTTCCGATTTTTTATTTAATTGCTATGTTTGTAAATATTAATTTTTTATATTGGTTAATCTTTTTTGGCATCTTTTTTGATTTTATTTTTGAATTTGTAAGGGAGATACCCACACCTTTTCTTTTAGAGGTACACCTACTTTTATTTTTATAACTCATGAACGGAGAAATATTTAAAAATCCTTTTGATATCATTCGATAGAGAATTAAATTTGCTACAAAATAAAGCAAAAATAAAAATTTTAAATTTTTTAACAGAAAAGTTACAAAAGGGTAAAGACGAAAAATCGTGATTTTCGTTGATTTTCTGGCTGTAACTTTTCACTCAATTATCTGAGCAGAACAATCCTGTTAGATAAAATAATCCGCACATTTAGAGCTTTCGATTGATACAAAAATTATTCAAATCGGTTAAAAATTTAAAAAGTTATGGCTAAAAATAGACCTCAATGTCTCACATTTTTTCATACTGTATTCAAATTTATTTAATTTTTGGCGTTCTGTTTAAAATTAATAAAAGGGATCAATTGTCATTTAATTATTCATCTTTAGAAAAATCTTTGTTTTTTATGTTTTTCTAGTTTGTTTTTTCCCAAAAGAATTTTACGGTTGACAGATTTGTAAAGGGCATCATATACATTTTTCTTCTTTCATCTTCCTTATTTTGGCTTATTTTTACTACAAAGTTTTATTTTCCCCATCGACTTTTTAATTCATTTTCAGCATTTAAAATATGGAGGCAATTGCAGAACACGATTTTAATGCAACTGAAGGGGATGAACTAAACTTTAAGAGAGGGCAAGTACTTAAGGTTAGTCTAATATGTGACAAGGACATTTCGGCGCCGAACATTTTGGCGTCCTTAAGAAATTTTGTTCGGCGCCGAAACGACCCCATAAAATTAGAAATTGTTTTTTAAAGATACTCAATAAAGATGAAGACCCTCATTGGTATAAAGCAGAAATTGGCGGTATAGAAGGCCTTATTCCCTCAAATTATATTCGAATGATGGAACATTCTTGGTATTTGGGTAATATTTCGAGGAGTGATTCTGAGGTTTTTTTTAAAAATTTTTTAAAAAGAATTTATTGGGTTTTCTGGTTACTTTTTGGTTCTCTAGGATTGTTTAGGGCCCGATATCTAAGGAATATACGGTGAGGATGGTTAAGTGCGAGAATACTTACCCTTTGGTTTAATGTCCGTGGTGGTTGAGGGGGTCGAGGGTTCGAACCCGCTCCGGGCCCTCTATTTTTTAAGTGACTCCAAACTAAATTTCAGACCCTACCATTGTTATATTCACTCTTTAAATGATACCAAATATTTATTTTTTTATTCAGACACTCCTTCTAAAGCCAGGCAACCCTGACGGAGCCTTTCTCGTTCGACGTTCAGAATCTTCCCCTGGAGAATTTTCAATTTCTGTCAGGTTAATTTAAAGTCGAAAATCACTTTCTTATTAAATTTTTTTAGATATGACAATGCAGTTCAACATTTTAAAGTTCTGCGTGACACTAAACTCGGCCAGTACTACTTGTGGGCAAAAAAGTTCAACAGTCTGAATGAGCTGATTAATTACCACAGGTTTTATTTCGATTATAGTTTGGAAAAAAGTCTGAAAAAATTTTTTCTTACTTCTATTTCGCTTGTAAATAACATCCTACTGGCTGGGAATAGCAAAAAAGTATTTAAAAAGGAATGGGCGCTGAGCGGGTTCGAACCCATGCCCCCCCCCACGACCCCTTCAACTTTTATTTTTACGTTTATTTTTTAAAACCTAAGCTTGATTCAAAAATAAATTTAAAATTTTATTTTCCACTCAATTTGACCTTTAAAACATTTGCTAAATTAAATCCTTGTGAAAATACATTAACGACCCTCGAACGGGGTCGAACCCGCGACCTATTTTTCGATAAAATTTTTTTGATTTTTTACTATTTTATTTTCTAAATTAAAAATGAATTATATTTTAAATTTAAATTAATTTTTAATAATTCAAATTTTAGATCCAACAGCATATCCAAAACACACAACGTACTTTTGCGCTCAATGGATTCGGCATTCTCCAATAAACATGGACTTGTACAAGTATATATTTTTAGTAAAAAAATTTAGGGAAAAAATATTTTTGCCTTTATTTCTCTTATAAATGAAATTTTACTGCCTGGGGATGAACAAATAAGCATTTAAAAAGGAAAGGGCCCTGAGCGGGTTCGAACCCACGACCCCTTCGAATTTTTGGTTACCCAAAAGTTTTTACATATTCTTTGTTTTTTAATGTTTTTCAAGTTTAAAAGATTCTGACGCTTCAAAAATATTTTTAAAATCCCTAGTAGAATCCCCACTCCTAGTATCAACACTCTAGTGTAGTGGTAAACGTTTGTAATTCACCCCCTTATAGGTCTTGGGTTCGAACCCGCTCGGGGGAATTTATTTTATTTTTCCTCCAAAAACATTTTCTTACGTTAGCCACACTCTAGTAATTTTCTTTGGAATTGTTTTAACCAAAAACAATCAAATAATTTTTTAAATAATTTTTTTTTGAAATTTACCTAGGCACTTTTCGATTTCTCCCCACAAGAGGAAGGAGAACTTGGATTTCAAAGAGGGGATATTATTACAGGTTTTTCTTTAACTTTTTTGTAAAATAAATTAAAAAAAATTTTTTTTGTAGTGACCAAAAGAGAAGATGAAAATTGGTGGGAAGGTACACTCAACAATCAAATGGGAATATTCCCTGCAACATATGTGTAAGTTAATATTTTGATAAATAATTGTTTTTGGCAAAGAATAAGTTGTTAATTTAATTTTAGAATCTAGAAAAATGTTTTCCCGGTGAAATGAAGATTAGAAAATAATTTTTGGTAAAATTAAAATATTTTACCCCGAGCGGGTTCGAACCCGCGACCTTATAAGGGGGAATCAATGACGCTACCCACTACACCAGGAGATAGTTTTTCAGGTAGAAATTAGAAAAAATAATTTTCCACTAAAATGGAGCGAGGAAATGTTTTTTGAGAAAAATAAAATAAATCTCCCAGAGCGGGTTCGAACCCACAACCTATAAGGAGGAAAGCAAGGACGTTAACCACTACACCAAAGATGTTTTTTCGAGGAAATTTTTTTATCTCTAAGCCTCATTTTAATTTTTCAATTTTTAGATGTCCTTATCACAGTGGATAAACGATGCACATTGTCTTTGGTGTCTGTGGTAAAAAAACAATACTATTATATAAAGCATATATAAAATATTTTTCTTAATTTGTGTTCATTTAAATTTTTATAGCCAATTTTAGTGGGAAATTAACTTTAATTTTGAGCTTTTTAATGTAAAAAATTTCAAAATGTCAATTTCTCAAATTTTTTTCAAACATTAACTTCATAATTCAGTCGACTAAAATTGGCATTTTGAAATTTCCTTCCTGTATTTGTTATCAACTCAATACCAACACATCTTCATTTAATCGTGTCTTGCCCTCTTTACTCTCATTATTTAAAAGCCCATAACTTCAATAAAAATTTTAGTTTTCGTTTTATTGTTAAGAAAAAGCAAAAAGTTATGTGCTACAAATTTTAATTTTAAAAAATTGTTCCGCTTTCCCCAACACAAAATTGACGCTTTCATTGTTTTTATTTAAAAATAAACTATCAAATATATTATTTCCCTTAAAAATTAATTGGCAATTTTATGTAAATATTATTATAAAATACAATTTGAATAAAAACAAATTGACAAACGTATACTAACAAAAATAATTGGATCCGCCTCATCTGGTCAGATTCCAGGAGGTCAACACCCCAGTAGTCAACCTATACGTTTGAACTAGGGTTGCCAAAACGGACCGATTCCGAAAGATCAGTCGGGCCTAAGATATCTGACCCGAAAAAGACCCGTACGGCCCGACTCGTTAAAGTTAGGCTCTCTCAACCATTTCCGAAATTTTATGTTTTGGGATCAAATGTCTTATTTTAGGAATTTAATTTCCATTTCTCTCCGACAAAGATTGAAAAAGAATTATGCCAAATTTTTTATTTAAAATATATTTACATCAATTAAAGAAGAAAATCGTCTTTTTTTAAATATTCGTAAAAAATATATTTACAATTTTTTTGTTAAATTATTATTTTTTTACGTTCCCAATAAATTCAAGGTATATTTATTTAAAATATTTTTTCAAAAATTCCCCCCAAAAATTCTCTCATCATCACCAAAAATATTTATTAATAGTCTGCGCGAAAGGATCATCCATTGATGCTGATTGAGCATTTTCCATTCGAGTAATGCAGTAATAGCTTAAAGAGTAAAAAATGTCAACATTTGAAAGGGTTGACAAAAATTTAAAAATGCCAACTCTCAAAATGGTCAATCCAAAATTTTTCACCCAAATTGGACCATTCTCAAAAAATCACCGTTTAAGAAGGTCCTAAGAATTTCAAAACGCCCATTCACAAATGGTCACTTCTAAAAAATTTTCAAAGTGGTCAAACCCCAAAATGGTCAATTTCGAAAAGGTCACAAAGCTCCCCGTGGAATTTCAAAACGACCATTTCAAAGCGGTCAGTTCCCACGTATCTCAGAATGGGTAGAACCCAAAATGGACAATTTAAAAATGCTCAAAATGGTCAGAACCCAAAATGACCAATTTTCCAAAAATTTTAAAACAAAAACATACACAACAGCGCCAGTAATTAAATTCGAAACCACAATCGCCAGCAAAACATCCAGACGGCAAAACATTGACCAGTCAAATAATTTTTTGTTTGAAACAATTCTGCGGTGGTAAAGCTTCCCCCCTGGGGATTTAAAAGTAAAAAAGTCTGTAGTCTCTTCTGGTTCTGGACTGTTTGGAGGTGTTGTTAATGTTGAATTAATTACTAGATTGTTCTTTGGTCTGAAGAGAAAATTTTTGGAAATTTTTTAAAAATTTGGGGTTGTCCGCAAAAATTTTTGCGGACAAAAATTTTTTGCGGACAATCCAAAATACGTGTCTCACTAATTTTAAGGTATAGTTAATAGGATTAGGAGGTTAAAAAAGTAAGTTTAAAGAGAAAACGAAGTGTGGAAACAGGAAAAACAAAAATTAGAGTACCCTAAAAAATTGTCCGCAAAAATAATTTTGGATTTATTTCTGTCGGACTTATTCTATAAATATACACCACTGCAAGAAGTCCTTCAGTCTTGCATGCCCAGTGGGTAAAAAAGCTGTTTAAGCAATACCCTAGGGTTGCCAAAATGACCCGACACAGACCAAAGGATAGAGTCGGGCCTAAGATATTTGGCCCGAAAAAGAAACGTACGGCCCGACTCGATAAAAATGAGGCCCGAAAAAATGACTCGACCATCGGCCCGACTCGAAAACGGCAACCCTGAATACCCCCAATTTAAGCAACAGCTCAGTATAAGGTGCGGATTTTTGAGGCCCTGAGAAGGGAAAACTTATAGAGAGGTCCGCCTATAAAGCTATGGAAAATAAAAATAATTAAAAATTATATACTTGTCATTATTAGCCCCTCCATCGCTTCGATAAGCCCACTCCCACAACCAATCAGTCGAAGATTTGTTCGTATTCCCGCCAACATCAGGCCCAATCATAGACTTAACCAAACGATACTTGACTTGTTCCAAAGAAGATTCAAACTCAACAGCTGGGCTTTGAATAGAGACGGGAGAAAGACGAGAATCTCTTTGACTAATAATTCCTCCCCCAACAGAATTCTCTCCAATATTGACGGCCTCTATTGAAGAGGAGAGGCTGGCACGGCTTGGAGCTAGTTCTACCCAGGACTCTGAAAATGATTTTAAAAAATTTTTTAAGGTGGTTTTTAAGTAGAAAGAGTGTCAAGAATTAATTAGGAAGAAAATCAGTTTTAGAAAAAAATTATTTCCCCGAAGAGGGTTCGAACCCACGACCTGTTAGGGGTAAAACTGAAACACTACCAACTAAACCAAGAATACTTTAATTGGGTTAAGAAGGATAAAGAAAAGGAAAATAAAATGTCGTCTTCTCCCCAAAGGGTGTCTAGAAGTTATTCTGATGAAGACACTTTTTACAAAAAATGTTTTACCCCAAGAGGATTCGAACCCGTGACCTTGACCTGAAAGGTTCAAATTTGAAACTTTCGAAAGATCTTCGAACGATTCTTTATTTTGAGACGTTTGCGGACTTTACAAAGTATAACAGAAAATGGAACCCAACCCTTTAAAATGCCCCCAAAATAGTTTTTTTAAAGAAACCTGGAACACTATCAATTTCATCAGGCCCCAACGGCTTTTCTGCCATCATTGCCAACCCGGCAGCTGCTAAATTAGAACCACTTCCTTTCTTCATAGAAGATGTTGAAGTATTATTATTATTTCCTCCTCCATTACTACTTGTTCCAGCACCAAACTTTTTTGTTGTGTCAAATAATTCTGGTTGGCGATTAAAAAATGAAGACATTTCTCTTTCTTTTTAATTAAAATCAGTAAATTTGCTTGTTTAAATTAATTTTAAAAAAATCTAAAAAATAAAAAAATGAAAAAATTAATGATAGACAAATCCAGAATTAATAACACGACAAAATATTCAAGAAAAAAATATTCTACTCCAAAGGAGTTCGAACCCACGACCTGGCTGGGGGGAGTCTAAATCGCTAACCACTACACCACGACTTATCCCAAAAAAGACAAAATTAAAAAGCGGACAAGTCTAGAATTAATAACATGACAAAATATCCAAGAAAGAGAAAAATAATTTACCACAAAGGAGTTCGAACCCACGGCCTGTCAGACTAGTCTAAATCGCTAACCACTACACCACGCCTTATTAAATTAAAGTCCGATTAATTAAAATTTAATTTAGAGGGGTTATTTAATTCAAATAGTATATGTATGTACTATTTTAGAAGAATAAATGCATATCGACGAAGGAATGCAAATATAAATAAAATATTTAAAACAAGGTAAAAACTCTAATTTAAAAAGGTTAAAGACTGATCAAGAAAAAAAACTTTTTTTTAATTTTATCGATTTTTAGCCCCTTTACTAAGCTTTTTTGGGTTGATTTTATTCTTCTTTTTTAATTGTCACACTGTCACAAGAACTCAATATTTGTATGAAAAGAGAAAAATAAAAAGAAGAAAAGTATATTTATTTTTACCAAACAGAGAAAAATATAAAAATTCTCCCTTTTCTCAGCTGTTTTATGGGGCTTTCTCCCCTGCTTAACACACAAGTATGGGGGGTCATGTGAATATTAAAAACAAAAAATAGGAGTATTAAAACAGAGAATATTTAAATAGAGGGTATTTATTTGTTCTTTTAGTCACCGCTAGAATATTAAAATGCCCAGTGGACAAAATGGTAAGAAGTCAAAATGTCCAAAAAGACAAAATGCCCATAAGAAGAAAAAACGACAAAATGCCCAGTAGAAGAAAAAAGGACAAAACGCCCATAAGAGGGAAAAAAGACAAAATGCCCATAAGAAGAAAAAAGACAAAATGCCCATAAGAAAAGAAAAACCCCCCATAAGACAAAACGCCCAAAAGGCTAATAGTGGACATTTTGACGTTACATTTTTGTCCATTGGACATTTTGAAACTAGCAAAACTAGGCAGTGTTTAAGAGTGTTTATAAAGAAAATAAGACCAAAGAATAAATAAAAATAAAATAGAAACAGGCTTTAAAAGAGCCTTTAAATAAATGTGTTGTGTCTGGCAGAAAAAAAATTTATTTTTGCAATTAAAAAAGGCAAAAGTATTTTGGATGACAATTTTTTAGAAATTAAAAGAGAATCATATGAGAAGGAAAAAAATTAAATTTCAAAATGTCAACTTTTCAAAACACCCAAAAAATTAATTTTTTTCACAAATTCCAAATTGAAGGTATTATTGTATCCGTTTGTACACTTGTACTTTGCATTTCCATTAAATTATTACTAAAATAAGGATCATAGGAGAATAGTGGGGGTGTTTGTGTCCAGCCATTATTGCGCAATAGACTGAAATTTTGGAAAAAAATTTTCTGAGAAATTAAAAAAATGTCCGCAAAAATATTGCGGACATCCGCAAAAATAAAAAAATTTGCGGACGTCCGCAAAATTTTGTCCGCAAATTTTTTTGTGTCCAACCATTTTGTCCGCAAAAAAAATTTGCGGACAACCCCACGCGGACATTTATAAAAAAATTTAAAAACCTTCCCCCTCCCCCCATATCAACAACTCCATCAATTAAATCAAATGAAGAAGAACAACAACAAGAACCATAAAAAGTTTGTGTAGATTCTTCTACTGTTTGATAACAAATATTATTATTATTAAAAGAATTATTAAAATTATTATTATTTTCTTCTTCTTGATTTGATAAATATTGTTGTGTATTTATTATTAAATTATTATTTTGATTATAATTTGTAATTAATTCTGATTGTTGTTGAGTGGGATATATTTCTGTTTGTGTATAAATGTGTTTTTCTGTTGTTGTTAATTTTCTAATTAAATAAAAAAAATACAAAAATAAAATACGAAAAAATACAAAAATTAAAGTAAAATACGAAAAAACACTTTCCGGAAGTAAAATACAAAAACTTTCCGGAAGTAAAATACAAAAACTTTCCGGAAGTAAAATACAAAAACTTTCCGGAAGAAAAATACAAAAATTTTCCGGAAGAAAAATACAAAAATTTTCCGGAAGAAAAATACAAAAATTTTCCGGAAGAAAAATACAAAAATTTTCCGGAAGAAAAATACAAAAATTTTCCGGAAGAAAAATACAAAAATTTTCCGGAAGAAAAATACAAAAATTTTCCGGAAGAAAAATACAAAAATTTTCCGGAAGAAAAATACAAAAATTTTCCGGAAGAAAAATACAAAAATTTTCCGGAAGAAAAATACAAAAATTTTCCGGAAGAAAAATACAAAAATTTTCCGGAAGAAAAATACAAAAATTTTCCGGAAGAAAAATACAAAAATTTTCCGGAAAATACAAAAATATTTTAAAACCTTCCGGAAACAATAAATACAATAAATTCTGAAAAATACAAAAAATCAGAATAAACGGAAAATACAAAAAAATACAAAAATCAGAAAGCATCCGGAAAAAATACAAACTTGGAATAAAAATTAGAATAAAATTACAAAAACTGGTTTTCTTTTAAAACTTTCCGGAAATAAATTTGTATTTTTTAAGAATTATTTGTGTTTTCCGGTTTGTGTTTTTAATTTTATTTTCCGGAAAGTTTTTATAAAATCTGTATTTTTCCGGAATTATTCTATTAATTTAATTCTGATTTTTTTATTTTCTTATAATTAAAATACCTTCTTGGGTGTATTTTTGTAAATTTCCCAGCAATTAATATTTTTGTAGGAACAAGCCATTTTTCAGTTTGTGAACCAGTATCTTTCTTTGTAATTTTATTTTCACCAATTCCGACTTCAGAATTTATTGAATAATTATTTATTTTTAATTTTTGTTTAGGGCAGACCTTTAATTAGAAAATTTTTTCTCCCCTATAGAAAAGTCCCCAATTTTTTGTAATATTGCGGACAATATTTGCGGATGTCCGCAAAAATTTTTTAAAATTTTGAAAACAAAAAATTGCGGACATTTTCCCCAAAATTCCCCACCTTTTTATTATGATAACGTAAATCTCTTTCCAAAGAAAATTTTGCCGTACAAAATTCACATTTTAAATTCTTCTCAAAATGAGTTTTTTGAAAATGTTGAATTAATAATTTGGCTGAACAAAAATTTTTTTGTTTAATTTTGCATTCCTCCAAAGGACAAAAAATTTTTAAATTTTTTGAGCGGTTTTCTGTGTCAACTCCAAGAATTGAGTCGATACTTGAAATTTTAATTGAATGGGATTTTTTGGCATGGAATAAAGCTGATCCACGATTTTTAAAATTTTTGTTACAAATAGTGCAGAGAATTGAGGAGTTGATGTCGGTTTGTCTGAAATCATAAAGGAAAATGCGAAAAATACAAAAATTAAAAAAATACAAAAAATACAAAAATACAAAAACACAAAAAATACAAAAACACAAAAAATACAAAAACACAAAAAATACAAAAACACAAAAAATACAAAAACACAAAAAATACAAAAACACAAAAAATACAAAAACACAAAAAATACAAAAACACAAAAAATACAAAAACACAAAAAATACAAAAACACAAAAAATACAAAAACACAAAAAATACAAAAACACAAAAAATACAAAAACACAAAAAATACAAAAACATGTAGAAGTTTCCAAAAATTCAAAATTTAATTCTCAAATTTTTTCCTTAATTATATCCAAACAAAAATATTTTCTTTTTTAAAAATTTTTATTTTTCTAGAGGAAATGTGTGAACAAAGACAAAATTATATCTTTTCTTTTTTAATTTTTATACTCCCATTAAAATTTTCTTTTTCCTTCTTTATTTTCAGCCAATTGTTCAATTAAATTAAAATGTTGATGATAAACATAGGAATAGACACGAAAAAGTCTTTTCATTATTGTTTGAGCAATGTGTCTGAAATTGGGTGGAAATGGTTTTGCGTGGGCTAATTAATTGCTTTATTTACACTTAAATTCCTTATTTTACTAAAAATCTTTTCTTTTAAATTTATTACACTAATTTTCCCTAATTTTATTATTTTGCACTTTTATTGACAACTGTTAAAATTTTTTATTATTTTTATTTCCCTCTTCTTCTTCTCTATATTTTTTGTATTTTCTGTGTTTTTTGTGTTTTTTTTTGTATTTTTAATTAATTTCCCATATATATTTACTAGAGCTGTCCGAGACTCTTGGTCTTGATCTTGGAAAAAATTTTGTCTTGGGTCTTGAGTCTTGGAAAAATTTCGGTCTCGGACGTCCCTAATATTTACTATTTTCGGGCCGACGATCGTCGGCCCGTTACAGCCTCCCCCCGCGAGGTCGAAGCCCTTGTTAATACGGGGGAAACTGTAAAGGACCTGTCGCTTTCCACCGACGCTGCTCGGCTCGCCCCCACCGAGCGCGAACGATTCGTACCAATTGAAGAAGATCTGCCCCTCTCTTCTACATTCGGGGGGATAAAAATTTTTACCGATTGATCCTTTTTCCGGAATAAGGCACCATTAACCGGCTGGGGTCCTCGTCTCGGTGGGGTTGTAGAAGGGCTCTTCGTTGAGGGTGGTACACTTGAGGCTCGAGAAGGTGTCGCAGATGCTCTCGAGGCCACACTGGAGGTTCGTTCTCTCGGAGCTTGACGCTCTATTTCTCGGATTCGTTCCAAGAGAACATCCATCTCATTCTTTGGGTTTCTTGCTCTTGGGGTTCCTCGTCCCAACATCGCTCTGAATGATCCCCAAACAGGCAAAAGAAACTGTACAAGAGCTAACGGAAGGACTACATCTCTCAAGAAAAGAAAAGTTGCATAAGCACATGAAGCAATAACCCACCAGTCCAGTAACATCTTTAGCCTCTCTAAAAGCCATTGCTTAGCTAACCCCGGAAGGCCGCCAGGAATCGCTCCTAGGGTCAAAGCCCTGGAGTGCTCCTCTGTTTTTTCATTTTCCTTCCATTGCTCAAATTGAGTGAGCTCGTTTATATGACGAAAGGGTACTTCTGTAGAATCATTTTTGGCTATCCACTCACGAAAAATAAGGGGTCCCATGTCCAAGTCCAATATCGAAGTATTGTCTTTGAAAACATGGATATTTTCTCTCTTCACAGGCTCTGTGATCCCAGTTCGAGTATCAATGATGATCCATCGATCAGGCTCTAGCTCAAAATATGTCTTCCGGAATCTTCCGCAATCCGCAATAGGGGACGTGGCACTAAGGATTCTCAACTCGGGATCGAGAAACACTTCAAAGATTTTCCTTTGGATTTCCAATTGAACGGGGATATACTTGTAACACTTAGTTGAAGGACGAAATCTCATTTCTTGTACTCCCAGCTCGCTACAGGCGTAGATTTCCATGGTATCCTCATTAATCCATCGAGCAACCAAATTCGATTTATTGAAGGCTTTCCTAGCCTGTATGGTGGGATTAAAATGCCTAAAGGTCTCCTCCCGGCATCTTTCCTTCAGCACGGCATCCTGTAGCTTCCTGAGGGCAAGTTCAGCTGCAGTGAGACCTGCGGCAACTTGCTCCTCATCTACTTCTCGGGCGGTCCTGATCGAAATCATCTGCGCATATTCTTTTTCATCAATTCCGAATCCTTGCTCAGAGACTCTAATAGGCCGACCGTTACATGCCATCTCTTTTGGGGGTTGCGCAGAGAAAGACAAAGCTTGCTCCTTGCTCTTCGAAATCCAAATAAGCTTCCCATTTGTTCGACTAAATTCCCCCTCCATTTTCTGATAATAATCATGATTGCACGTCTGGCAATTATGCTGCGGGCAAATATTATTCCAAATTAAACTCGAGTTGTCCGGGAGACGACAAAATTCAGTAAGGTAATGACATCCTTCTACCGAATGTATCGGGGATATCAAACGCAATGTCTGTGCGGAATAGAACAAGTTTGTTGGTTGCAAGTAGCAATTAACAATTTTTTCCACCTTCTCTCCAGAAAAAAGACTGGCAAATCTACCCGGAAAATCAATTTTCAAAATTTCTTCAGTAGTGTACCCCTCCTCCTTTTTAACCAAAGGTTTCGAATTGAAAGGGCAAATTTTATTGGCTTCCATCTTTTTACAGTCCTCTTTAGATACAGGAATTATTTCTTTTTCCAAACGATAAAATTTATCCCCTAACAAATTAGTATAGAATCTCTCAGTCGTAATCTTCGCCGAGCAATGGTTAGCCTCTAAGGGCTTGGGTTTAGTGGTATGAGTGAACAAAGTCACTAACTTATTTTTCCATTTTCTAATACTCAAATCCTGGCAGAAAGGTGAGTTCTGCCTATTTGGAAAAGTCCATAAAGTATTGGGTCTGTTGCCACACCATAAAACGGGCTTTCGACCTTCATTGATATTCCCAGACCTTATTAAATCATCCAATCTTTCAAAACTTTCTTCAGTATTACTTAAACGCAAACCTCCAATAGGCCTGGCCATAGCACCTCTCTTTTCAGCGGTAGCTGGATAAAACGGCTCGCAATCAGTGCATTCCCAGCTTGCCAAAATTGTTGTTGCAAAAAAGAGTAGACAAACCAAAAGTAATAAAATACTGCTTGACGAACTCATACTCAGTCGTCGAGAAGTTCTTGGCTGTTGTCGTTGGCGTAACTCCCGGAGCGACGCCCGCTGCTGCTGTCGCTCCCGGCGAACTTTCAATTCTTTCACCTTCAATAATTTTTCCTCTTTCTTCTTTTTAGCCTTTACATACCCCACCAAAGGCATGTCTTCTTCTTCACTCTCTTCTTCTTCATTATCTTCAATTTCAGGTAGACAATCGGTCAAAGCCATTCTCTCCTGAACTTCTTTTAATTTATCTAACTTTCCATCGTAGCTATAAAAGCCAATGTCAAATGAGTCAACGAGATTCCTACACTGTTGTATTGCCTCTTTTCTCTCTGATGGCAATTCCGGCTCATTTAATACCAAAGTAACTCGAATAGAAACTTCTTTCTTTTTCCAATAGAGTAAACTATCCTCTATAGACTTTAATTTTTCCTCATTAGGCCAGATTATAATTATTAATTGCTCCACTAGAGGGCCAAAGAAAATCATTTGATGAATAGGCTTTTCCTCTTTTAGTACGAATAGTCTTGTTGTATCCGGATTTGTACCCCAAGCGTCTAAAGAAGGTAATGAAGAGTCTGCTACCAAAATTATGGGAGCATTGATTAAATAAGTTGACACTTCTGATTTGCCATATTTAAATCGTTGACGCGTTAATATATTATCCAAAGCCCCTTTCAATGAATTGAGCCAATTATTTAATTTCTCGTCCGGTGTCTGAGGTGGCAATTGTAGTCGTAAAGGCCCAAAGGGTTGACGGAAGATGAGGCTCCGAAAAACCTTACAAGTATTTTGGCGTACACGAAGCACTTCTTTTAACGTCTCATTAGGGAAGGCTCGAAGCGGCGCTTCTTTGATATATTGCCAAAGGGTCAGTGCTGTAATCATTGGCGTATTTCCCTCACGCAGGAGTTGTCCCTGTACTGCCTCCTTGATCTCACGCTTTGGAAAGCGTTGTCGAGAAAACCAATCTGCTGCTAAACAATGCATGAGTGTGAGCAGAATATCCGGGATATATTGTCTAAAAGCCGTGTCCCGTCGATAGGCGTTGCGGTTGAAGACTGCCGGGGCCTTACATTCACTATGCATGTCACCAATGCAAGGGCTAAAAAGACCATAATCCACCTCTCTATCATCCATAATTGCGATCGGCGCCTGAATACTCCAATGTTGATCAATTTCTTCTTCAATTCTCCAGAGATTTACAAAACGTTTTATATTTCTTTCCTTTTCTTCAATCGTGGTCGTCTTCTTAATCACCTTTTGGAGTGGGTGCTCTCTCAACTTTCCCTTCCTTTTCACAATCTTCTTCTTTTGGGGAGGTTTTTCAGGTATTTTCTTTGGAATACGATAGTTTGCAGGAAGCCTCGGATTTGTAATTTTCGGTACTTGCTGCTGTGGCGAAGCGATTCCAGGATTTCGGGCATTCTTGGCTTCATTAATTAGGTTACTTAGCGCCAATAATCTGGTTTCAAGACGAGTGTATGGTTGCGGTGGACGACTAGACTCCACTGTGGCTTCTGCTTGTTCAATAATGACATTGACTCCTTCCACAATTTCATCCTCATTCTCAGACGAAGAATCTAAAACTTCTAAATTATAAAGTTGGCCAATGGCTCTTTTGAATATTTTATTATTTATTTTTATTTTAGCCGTCCTTATTAATTGGTCCCTTCCTTTTTGAAGTTCAATTATTTTACCAAGCTTCCATAAACTTCTAGGAAGGGCCTCTTCGACCAAGACTATGTCTCCAACCACCGGCTCCATCCGATTCTTTACCTTTGTTCCCCCTAAGGTTCTTTCCCTCAAAGAGAGCAAATAATCGTTGCGCCAAACCTCCCAAAATTTATTTAACCTCTTATTAGTCTTCCTTATTTGTTGAGTTATTTGAGTTCTACCCACTACCTCCTCTTCATAATCCGATTCCTCTTCCAAGTCGGGAAAATTTACTTCGGTCTGAGGGTACGGGATGAGAAAATCTATTGGCCTAATTGACTGTATTGGCTCACGATCAGATTGAAACGTCAAAGGACGTGAATTGACTACTGACTCTAATTCACAAAAAAGAGTAGTCAATTCAGTCCTATTCAAAAGACTTTTACCCACACATCTTTTCAGCGCCTTTTTAGTGATACCTATAAGACGCTCCCAGGCTCCTCCCTCCTGGGGGTTTCTCGGAGTATTAAATCGCCATTGGGTACCTTGATACTTCGTAAACTCTTGAACTTCTTGGGAGAACCATGTCTTATCATTTAATTTTTTAACTATTTTGGCACCCATTTGAAAGTTAGTGGCATTATCGGAGAGAATTATTTTTGGAATTCCGCGGCGAGAAATAAAACGTCGATATGCCTGGAGGAAAGAGACGGCTGACAAATCCTCCACAAACTCGAGATGAATCGCACGAACAACCAAACAAGTAAATAAGGCCCCATAAGCTTTACCAATTTTTCCCTCCTCTTTAATTGTCAGAGGCCCAAAGAAGTCGATCCCACTATTTGCGAATGGTCGAGCTTCTCTTACTCTTTCCTTCGGGAGTGTATCAAATATTTTCGCGCGATAAGGTTGACACTTAAATTTTCGACAAATGAGACATCCTCTGCTAGAGAAAATTATTCTTTCAACAGTTTTACGACCTCTAGTCAACCAAAATCGTTGCCTCAATTCTCCTAACAAAGTCTGGGTTCCGCAATGCTTTCTTTCAATATGGTATTTCAAAACAATTAATCTGGTAATCCAAGCATCATTCGGGAGCCAGATTGGTTTAATAGCTTCCTCTGGCAATTCGGACTCGTCTATTCTACCCTGACATCTCCAAAGGCCCTTAGCTAAGTACAAATTTAAATCAACTTTAACATTTTCAGAAGGTGGATGCTCTTCTTGCGCACACTGGAGTAAATACCATTCAGCGCTCTGTAACTCTTTCAATGAGGGTAGGTTTTTATCAAATACCGTCCCTGGAATAGCTTTCGGAATTAAAAAATTCTTAAAGTCGCAAAAATATTTTTTAGGCCCTTTCAAATCAAAGTTTGAGAGTGTCTTTTGTAAAAACCTAAAGGCATACGCAGTGGCCCCTAACAATTTTTGATACTTGGAAAATCGAGTTACGTCTATTATACACTTCTCTTCTGAAACCTCCTCTAAAATCACTTCCATTTTCTCTTCCTCAGCTTTCCTCCATTCCTCTTTTTCCGGTGAGTATTCTGCTTGAGACGGTGGCCATTTGGATTTTTCCTCCTCTAACCATTCCGGGCCCGACCACCAGAACCTATTATTAATCAATACCTCCGGGGTAACTCCTCTGGAGCACAAATCCGCAGGGTTGTCCTTCGAAATAACGTGCACGACTTTGAATTGACCTCGAATTTTCACGATGCGATTGGCGATGAACCGGTCGTATTTTTCAAAATTATTTAATCTCTCCACGTTACACAAACTATCGGTCCAAATAGTCGCCACCTCCTTATTTAATTTTAACTCCTCCAACAAAAATTTAAGAGACTTAACTCCGATCATAATAGCCTGGAGCTCAAGACGTGGGATAGTCGCCTCGTTCCGGGACATATTCAAGGGCTTGATTAAACTTTTGGCGAAAATTAAATTTGCTTTTACCCCATCCTCGACTTCCGTTCTTAAATAAATTGCAGCGCCGAAACCTTGACCACTAGCATCGACAAAACAATGGAGTTCTCGCTCAAAGGCTGATCCTAGTGGAATTCTCCGAGGAAAGGAAATCTCGAAGGATTCCGTCCCAGAATTATTCCAGGTCAATAAAACTCTTTGCCATTCCTCGACCAGCTCCCTCGAGACTGAAACGTCCCATTTATAATTGGCTTCAAATATTTTTTGTAAAACCTTTTTAGCGGGAATTAAACAAGGTGAGATTAGGCCTAACGGGTCGTAAATTTTTGCTATTGTTGAAAGAACTTGTCTCTTGGTCACCGATCCTTCAAACTTTGGAAAAGGGATTGTCAACTTTTCCTTGTTTAAGTACCAATACAAACCCAAAATCTTCGTTTTTTCTAAATCTGGAGCTAGCTTCCCTTCGGGAACCTCTCCAAATTCTTCTTTTGATACGCCGAAAAATTCTCTGATACTCATTCCCGCGGCCTCCAATATTTCTGTTGCCTCGCGGCAAACCTCTTCGACCCGGTCCTCCTTCCTCATTTCGATCATAATATTATCTACATAGAGATTTTCTTCTATTGACCGGGCCACAGGAGACTCAAACAATCCCAAGTGCTCCTGTAGAGTTGCATTGAGGAGGAAAGGTGAAACCGTAAGACCAAAGCTCACCCTTGTGAAACGAAAAATAATACAATGCGTGAATTGAATTTCGTCCAGGTTGGCCTCCTTTGGCTTCTCCAGCCAAAGAAATCTGGTACAATCTCTGTCTGTCTCGCGCACACCCAATTGTAAAAATGCCTTCTCTATATCTGCGAGGAGGACACGATCCATGAACCTGAATCGCAAAAGAATTCCCACTAATTGTTTCAAAAGGAGCGGTCCTGTGTGAAGGCAATTATTCAAGGAAGGAGCGTTAGGTTGACTCGGGGGTCTAGCACTCGCGTCCATAACAATTCTTACTTTTGTAAATGTTTTGTCCATTCTCACTACCGCCCTATGAGGGAGGTAGTGAACTGGTCCATCTGCCTCGGAGGGGTTTTCTACTTTTTCAATCATTCCCTTATCGTATTGCTCCTTCAATATTTTTTCGTATTCATCTACAAGATTTAATTTCCTCAATTTCCTCAAAGTGGAAGCGAGCCTCATTTTAGCGTGTCGATAATTAGTGGGCAAAAACTGAATATTTTTATTGAATGGGAGCGCGACCTGATACCTTCCATCTACGAAAACCAAGTTTTTCCGAAAATTTTCCATAACTTCTTCGTCTGTGGTTGGCGCCGAAACATCCTCCAGTCCCACGCCATGTAATCCGAAAAAATGAGATAATTGCTCCGAATGCTCCACGTCTGTCTTGAAATCCTCTTCTCCATCTTCCTCAAGTATGGTATAGACTTGGGCCACATTTGCAAAATAAACCCCCTTTTTTGGAGTAGAACCATTTTCCTGGAGTCCCGCTCCACTCAAAATATTACCAATTCTAGAGGTACTGATAGTAAACCCACTTGGTAATTTTTCCAAAGGCTGGACGTTAAGTTCGTGCCAGATATCCATCCCCAAAAGGACATCTGGTGGACGCCAGTCCGCCTTACACAGCCTCCAGTCATGTAATGCTTGAGGTTCCATTTTAGCCAAGTCATAGCATGGCAAAGGATTTACAATGAAGTCCATTTTATTTAAAACCATGGAAAGTCTTTCTTCGTTTTTACCAAGCAAATCTATTCTTACTAACTCACTTTCATATTTTTTAGGCTTCTCACTTCCGAAGCTCGAAAGATAATAATCCTCTTTTCCCATTGGGGCCAATTCAAGTTTTTCGGCAATTCTTTTTGAGACAAAGCTCCTCTGACTACCCGGGTCGAGAAACACGAGAGCCGGGATTTTATTTTCTTGTTTTCTGGGGTTTGAGACCATTACTTCAACGGTCATAAGTAGGGCTTTCCCCTCGCCCTCTAGCGCAACATTTGTTTGCCCATTTTGAGCATGTTTTATTTCTGGGGTCCTTATTACTTGTCCCCTTTGATTTGGCGCCTCTATTGAGAGCATACGCCTTGAAGCTTCCTCCTGCGATTGATTGGGCCACACGGCCGATATATTATTACCCCTAAACTGAGTTTGCGTTTGTGGCCATTGGGCCTGGCGATTATTAAAATTCCCACCCCTCTGTGGGGGTTGGGTCTGGCGATTATTGAAATTCCCACCCCTCTGAGGGGGTTGCATTCTTAAAGGTTGCGCATTTCCTCCTGTAAAAAATTTTCTAGAAACCTCTACATTTTGCCTTGGGCTATTGCGATTAGAAATATTTTTCAAAAAACAAAATGCTCCAGGGTGAGCGCGTTTACAGTAAAAACAAGTGGAAGGCCTCCAACAATTTTTGGGACTATGATTTTTTCCAAGGCATCGAGTACAAAGACCCTTAGCCTCTGCTATTTTTATTCGACTGCGGGGATCCGTGACGACTCGACATTCGTCACTCCAATGCGATTGATTACAAAAAACACAGGCGGGGGGACTTCTGGGAACAAAAGCCCTATTTTGATTAAACTTTGGTAAATTCTTGTCTTGTACTACTAAATATGTATAATCTGGGTTGCGGGGGGTAGGTAAAGAACGTCTAGGCGGAGGGCGAGGCACATTCCGGTTAGGAGCTCTCTCGTGATCGTACTCATTTATCACTTCTTGAATAGACATCTCGCGCTGAAGTGTCTCGTGCAAAACTTCTCGAAATCTCGTAGTGGACCAAGCAGCTCCTTCCTCCGATTTTTTATTCAATATTTCCCTCAAAAAATTTTTATTCAATTTTTTTTCTAAGGCAAGATATACAACCGGCCCTTCTGTATTTTCCCCTTCTGCTCTCAACTCTCGAATTAGCCTTTCTAATTCGAATGCAAAAACCTTTGTCTCCTTCAAAGAGGAACAATTTTTTAAATTGGCTAATTTCATATGGAGCTCCCGCACTCGCATTTGTTTATCCCCATAATAATCCTTTAATAATCTCAGAGCCTCCAAATAACTGGCAGTGTCTAATTTAAAACCGGACACGAGCTCCTTCGCTTCTCCTTCCAAGAGGGAGCGGAGGAGTGTAAACTTCTCTACATTCGTGCCTACTGCTCTTTCCACTGCACAGTTAAAGGACTCAATAAATTCAGGCCACTCTCTCCGCTCACCAGAGAACCTCTTAATTTTTAAAGTGGGGAGCTGGTATAGGTTGGAACCTAACCTTGGGATTGTATTCGGATCAGTCGGGCCCTGGCCTCCGGCGGCAGCTAACTCACGACGGTGCTCGAGCTCTTCCTCTCTCCTCTCTTTCTCGGCCTCCACCGTCACCAATTGAAGTTGGAGATTGACCTTTCGGGCTAACTTGCGCATTTCCCTCGTTTGAACTTCAAAATGCTCAATAGTATGCTCGATGTGGTGTTTATCGTTAAAGACCGCGTAATCCTGATTCCCCATCTCTCTTTCATCCGAGGGAAGTTTCCTGAGCAAGTCGGTCCAAGAAGTCAGAGCGAGCTTCACTTCATTAACGATGAGCTCTTGCGTTCTGATTTCGGCAGCCAGCTCCCTGCTCAGACTTTCGTATTTAATTAATTTTACTTGCGCTGTGTCCCCCTCTAAAGTGTCATCCTTAAACTCTTCAATCGCACGAAGTGCGTTCCAACCTTTGAAGGCTGTGAGAATACTACTCTTAATGGGGTTTGACATATTTTCAAATTTGAATTCGAAAGATATCCGGTTGGTTAACTACTTATCCACAATAAAAACGAAAAACAAACTCAAACAATTCCTATTTTTATTGAAAAATTACTATTAAATACACGACGATAACTATCGGTATCTATTCTTAAAACAATCGAGCCACTCTCTCTGCATACGATCACAATGGTCGTTTTTCTTCAACCACTCTTCTTCCAATTTTTCAGTGGCCTCTCTTATTTCTTTAAGCTCCCGCACCTGGGCAGTAATTTCAGAGTCGAGTTCCTCTAGTCGGTCACGAAGAGGTAATTTTCCTTCTTCGATTATTGGGCTCTCACACTCTACCGGTATTTCCACTGGTGATCCTTAATTTTTGATGAGTCAAAGAGACTGGGACCAATCCTGCCTCAAAGGGCAGCTTATTCAACTTTTCCCAACCAAATTTTTTAAAAAAAATAAGGGGGCGAACCGGGAGCTATACAGAAAAATTATCTCAAAATTTCCTCAAAAATTAACCAAACAGAGCCGGGTTGGAGCACTCTTTCTTTTTGAATTTGGCTCAGAGGCCTATTTAAACTCACTTCTGACTCGAAGGTCAGTAACTGAGTTTTTATTTAATATTTTTATTTATTTATTTTCCCTTTTTTAACCCCTTTTATCTTAATTACCGGAATTTTCAATTGGAAGCATGGCAAGAATCCGAACAAGAAATTGCTTTGTAGGTCTACTATTTGAAGAATTAAAATTTGGAGAAGCAGAAGGAAAACGTCGATTAACTGATGATTGTTGTGGATATTTAGTAGAAGGTGTTGGAATATAAGGAGTTACAGGTTTTCCTCTCAGGGGGCACCAAATTATGTAGAAGTTTCCAAAAATTCAAAATTTAATTCTCAAATTTTTTCCTTAATTATATCCAAACAAAAATATTTTCTTTTTTAAAAATTTTTATTTTTCTAGAGGAAATGTGTGAACAAAGACAAAATTATATCTTTTCTTTTTTAATTTTTATACTCCCATTAAAATTTTCTTTTTCCTTCTTTATTTTCAGCCAATTGTTCAATTAAATTAAAATGTTGATGATAAACATAGGAATAGACACGAAAAAGTCTTTTCATTATTGTTTGAGCAATGTGTCTGAAATTGGGTGGAAATGGTTTTGCGTGGGCTAATTAATTGCTTTATTTACACTTAAATTCCTTATTTTACTAAAAATCTTTTCTTTTAAATTTATTACACTAATTTTCCCTAATTTTATTATTTTGCACTTTTATTGACAACTGTTAAAATTTTTTATTATTTTTATTTCCCTCTTCTTCTTCTCTATATTTTTTGTATTTTCTGTGTTTTTTGTGTTTTTTTTGTATTTTTAATTAATTTCCCATATATATTTACTAGAGCTGTCCGAGACTCTTGGTCTTGATCTTGGAAAAAATTTTGTCTTGGGTCTTGAGTCTTGGAAAAATTTCGGTCTCGGACGTCCCTAATATTTACTATTTTCGGGCCGACGATCGTCGGCCCGTTACAAACACAAAAAATACAAAAACACAAAAAATACAAAAACACAAAAAATACAAAAACACAAAAAATACAAAAACACAAAAAATACAAAAACACAAAAAATACAAAAACACCGCAAAACACAAAACAGAAAAAAACAAAAACACAAAAATACAAAAAACACAGAAATACGAAAAACACAAAAAATACAAAAAAATACAAAAAATACAAAAACACAAAAAATACAAAAACACAAAAAATACAAAAACACCGCAAAACACAAAACAGAAAAAAACAAAAACACAAAAATACAAAAAACACAGAAATACGAAAAACACAAAAAATACAAAAAAATACAAAAACACAAAAAATAAAATAAACACATACAAAATATTTTGCATATCCTCATCTCCATCCTCCCCATTTATTGGTCTAATAGCATTAATTAATTGAGAAACAGTTGGTCTAATCTCTGTAAATTCTTCCGTATTTGTTGGAACAGTTTCTGATACGTCAGAAAGAGACATTCATTTACATTTGGCTATAAAAAATTTTTTTCATCATAAAAAATACAAAAATATTTAAATAACTAATTTTAAAATATAAAAATTAAGAATAATGAATAAAAAAATAGGTACTTTCCTGTTATGACGCAACACATTTAAATTTTTTTGAAAAAGCTAAAAATGCTCAACAAGTTAAGAGTTAGGCATGTTAAGAGTTAGGCATGAACAAACAGTTAAGACAGTTAAGAGTTAGCAAAACACTACGGTAGACTGGTCTCAATATATGCGGGAAATTAGTACTTATTATCTGCTTCAAAAAGAACCATAAAATTTTTTCCCATTTTTGCTTCAAAAAAAGAACAAATTCCGCCAAACACCCATTGAGGTGGGAAAACACGTGGGAAAAAGGAGGAAAAAATTTTATGCTTATTATTACTATTTTTGAACATTTTTAGCTTTTTTAAAAAAATTTAAATGTGTTGCGTCATAACAGGAAAGTACCAAAAATAAATTTATTTTTAAATATATATTTAAATGTATCACACAAAAAATAACATGTATATTTTGAATAAAACATGCGTAGCTGCTAGTATATGTAGTTTCCGGAAAATACATTAAAATACAAAATTATTTTAACTATTCCGGAAAATTTTGAACCGGAAAGAAATACAAAAAATAAGTTTCTTTTATCCGAAAAATACTTTCCGGAAAACACAAAATTTGTATTTTTCGAAAATACAAATTTCCGGAAAATTATAATGTATTTTCAGGAAAAAATGTAATAAGTGTAATACTTGATAGGAACGAAAAAAAAAATAAAATACAGGCATATATGAATGAAATTTAATATTACAAAAAGAGATTAGATTTTTAAATGAAAATAAAATATTATTGAATAATTAAAAGGCTATTTTTTGAAAAAATATAAAAGTGGCAAGAGAAATATTTCCAAATGCAAATAAAAAAATATAAAAAAGATGCAAAAATGGCCAAAATAAAAAAATGTAAAAAAAATTAAAAATTCTAGATTCTATCATAACAAACACACCAAGTTGCCATAAAATAATTTTTTTCAATAATACAATGTGGAGTATCCCCGTATTTATTAATATGGCTTATAGCAGATAAATCGACTTTAATTTGATTACCATCATAAAAAAGGGTTACCTTTAAAGAAAATTAATTTTTTTTGAAAATTTTTTGAATTTTAAAGACCTTAATTTTATTAATTTTTAATTTTAAAAATAAAAAAATTTTTTTCCGACCAAAAAATTATTTTTTTTTCCTCAATTTTTCCCCTCACCTCATATTTAGCTTCACCCGGTGTAGTAATAAAAACTATTTGATATGTAGCAAATTTTGTTTTAACATTTCCTTTTAATTGAGGCTTAAAACCATCAAAATCTACAACACCATTATATTTTAAAAGTTGATCGTTTGGAACTAATCTTAAAAAATTTTTTTTATTTTTAACTAAAAATTATTTTTTCTCACTTTTTTGCACTCTCCACATTTTCTAATTCCAATTTTGAACATAGAGAACGTTCTGATTCTGTATATTTATTTATTTTATCAATTACGGAATTTGCCAAAGGTATAACTTCATTAACATTATTAATAATAATCCAATTAAGGCAGGTACACCAATGTATTTCTATTCCTGCCTTAAAAATAAAATACATAAAAATGTAATTTTCCGGAAAATACAAATATAATATAGTGTTCCGGAAGGAACAAAAATAAATATATTTCCGGAAAAAATAAAAGGAAACACAAAAATATACTTTTCCGGAAATATAATTTTCCGGAAAATACAAATAATTAAATTTTTCCGGAAAATACAAAAATAATATAGTGTTCCGGAAGGGAAATACAAATAAATGTTTACGGAAAATATAAAAAGAAATATAATTTTCCGGAAAATACAAATAATTAAATTTTTCCGGAAGAAATATATAATTTTCCGGAAGGAACAAAAATAAATGTATTTTCCGGAAAGAATAAAAAGAAACACAAGAATATACTTTTCCGGAAAGAAAATACAAAAAAATTAAAAGTTTCCGGAAAGAAAATAATAGATACAATTTTCCGGAAAATACAAATACAACAATATAGTTTTCCGGAAAGGAAATACTAAAAATATAATTTTCCGGAAAGTACAACCAATAAAATATGTAATAATATACATTTCCGGAAAGTTCAAATAAAATAGAAAACACAAAATTTTATTTTGTATTTTCCGGAAAATACAAAACACAAATATTTTTGTATTTTTATTTAAAAACAAAAACTTTACTTGTTCACAAGTCCTTTCCAGCGGAATTTCACGCAAAAAAGAAATTGCCCGGTTCATAGGAAATTGTAAATCTTTAGAGGTTGAAGTTACCAATTTATTTGAAAAATAATCATTTCCAAGTTTTGGCCATCTTAAAAAATTGGAAAAAAAATTTTTTTTGAAAATTTTTTAATTTTTCTGAAAAATGGGATAAAATGTCTCTCTTAAAATACCGAAAAATAAAAAATTTGAAAAAAATTTTTTTTCAAATTTTTTGAATTTTCTGAAAAAATGGGATAAAATGTCGCTCAAAATTTCCAAAAAAAATTCGAAAAATTTTTTTTTAAAAATGGGACAAAATGTCTCTTTCAAAAAATTTTCAAAAAAATTTAATTTAATTAAAAAAAACCTAAAAATATCCATTAATGTTGCATGAAAATCAAAGGGTGTTACAAGTCTATCGACAGAATTTATTTTTATATTTGACCAAACTTGTTTATATTTTTGAGGAAAATGTACAGAGAAAAATGGAAGTCTTTCTTCTAGTTGACCTGGAAAAATAATAAATTTCTTTAAAATATTTTTAATAAATTTATTAAAAAATTGAACTCTAAGAAATTATTGGAAAATTTTTTTCCGGAAGATAATAGAAAATATTCCGAGGGATTTTATTTTTTTTAAAAATTTGGGATCAAATGTCATCCCAAAAAAATAAAAAGGTTTCCAAAAAAATTTTTTAAGTAAATTTTTAATAATCTATTAAAAAATAGACTATAAAATTTTTTTGTATCATAAAAATATTAAAAATTATGAGAAAAAATTCTGAGAAATTTTCTCAAATATTTGGGACCAAATGTCATCCAAAACTATTTTTATAAATTATTTTTTAAAATTTTTTTTAATAATTTTTAAAAATTAGACCCTAAAAATTGTTATATTTTGACCCATAAAATTAAAAAAAAATTTCCCTTTGAGATATCAAAAAAAATTTTTTTTAATTGGGATCAAATGTCATCTACCCCAAAAAAAATTCTAAAAATTTTTTTAAAAAAACCTTGATGTGTTTCTCTCAATTTTGCAAATCTATTTCCATGATCTGCCATCACAATAAACAAAGAATTATCAAAAGCTCCCATTTTTTTCATTTTTTGTAAATGAACAAACAAATCATCATCAGCTTGTTGGACTTTATTTATATCGTCGTGAGACAAATAAGAATGGTGCATTAATAAAAAACGGGGAATTTGTAATTTTGAATATTCATTCCAAAATGATTCAATATAACGAAACCAGACCTTTAAAAGAAAAAAAAATTTTAAAATTAAAAAAAATTCTTTTGGGATCAACCGTCTCTTCTAAAAATTTCAGATTCATAGTTGAAGAGCAGGACAAAGGAAAAATAAAAAAAAATAAAAATAAAAATAGGAGGATCAAATCTCTTTAAAATTAAAAATTCAAAGAGCAAAACATAGAAAAAAATAAAATTCAAAAAGAATAAAAATATTTCTGGGACCAAATGTCACCTAATAAATTTTTAAAAAATTAAAAAATAAATAAAAATATTTTTAGGGCATTTTTGGGACCAAAAATATATCCTATTTTTATAGAAATAAAATAAAATTAAAAAAAAATTTAAAAAATAATTAAAAAATAATTCATAAAAAAATTTTTTGGGATCAAATGTCTCTTCTAAAAATTAAAAATTCAGAGCTTAAGAAAAAAATAGAAAAAATAAAAATTTAGAAAAAAATAGAAATATTGCTGGGATCAAATGTCTCATTCTTATAAAAATAAAGTAAAAAATAAAAAAAAATTTTGAAAAAGAAATAAATATTTACCTTGTGCTGTTTTTCTGCCCCAATACAAACTCTAGAATTATCTAAAGTTTCGGCATAATGAAAAAAAGTGATTGGATAATGATGTGTTGGAGCATTACGAAAACCTTTTAGACGATAAGTGAAGGTGCCTAGAAAATTTTGGAAAATTACAAAAAAATTTTTCCTCAAAAAAACCAAAAGAATGCCCATCCTCCCCATACATTGTAGCATACCCAGCATCTGAAAAATTATTCCAAACAAAAGGATAAACTTCATCGACGTAACGAGCAGATGAATAACGCTTACGAGTGAGTGGCTAAAAATAAAGAATTGAGGAATCTGGAAAATTTTTTTTTTAAATTTTTCATCTAATGGGATCAAATGTCATCACCTAAAAAAATATAAAAAATGGGGGATTTATAATGTTTTTAATGTCCCAAATTTAAATTATAAAAAGAAAATTTGGTTAAACTAGCTACTAAAAATAAGATTAGATTTTTGGGATCAAATGTCATCCAAACAAAAAAAAATATAAAAAAATATGGGACCAATTGTCACCTAAAAAATTATTCAAAAAATTTTTTGTATGTAAGATTTGTCTTCCTAAATTAAAATTCCAGAAAGTAGTTGGCCTAACTGTTATATGACAATAAAATTAAAAATAAGGAAGTTTGGGATCAAATGTCACCTTATAAAAATTCAGATAAAAATCAGGGATCAATGTCACCCAAAAAATATTCAAAAAAATGTTTGTGTGGAAAATTTGTCTCCTAAATTAAAATTAAAAAAGGTGCCGACTAAACTGTTATATAAAAATAAAATTAACAATGAGTTTGGGATCAAATGTCACCCAAGCAAAAAAAATTCAAAAAAATCGGGGATCAAATGTCACCTCAAAAAATATTCAAGAAATGTTTGTAAAAAATTATCTCCTAAATTAAAATTACAAAAAGAGTTGGCCCTGCTGTCATATATCTGGGCCAAAAGAAGTTTGGGATCAAATGTCACCTCATAAAAAATTCAAAAAAAACTGGGACCAAATGTCATCCCAAAAATTATAAAATAAATAAAATATACCAATTCCTCCTCTGTAAAACCAGTCAAAATTGGAATAAATGCTTGAGGTGTTCCATCACCAACAATATTATAACCTTAGAAAATTTTCTTTTTAAATTCCAAATTTTAACAAAAAAAAACCATTAAAAACAGCAAAATCATTTTCTTCCAAAAATTTTACAGTTTTAGGCAAATTACGTCTAAAAGACATTTGTGAAAGCGAATCAAATGAAAGTATATAAACATTTATTGGGTCTGAAGAATTTTGAAGAAGAAGATTTTTTGCTTCATTAGGGGGCTTCTTCTTCTTTTCTTTATTTTTCGGAACAACAACCATAAATGGATTACTCCTTTAAAAATTTTTAAAATGTTTTTAAAAATGTAAAAAGGAATATAAAAATAAATTTAAAACGAAATTGGGACCAAATGTCACCTAAAAATTAAAAAAAAGTGTGGACCTAATGTCACCCTAGAAAAATAGAGGAACGTGGAAAGGGATGAGAGGTGAATAAAATTGTGACTAGGAACCAAATAGAAGAAACACAAATTAAAAGGCAGAAAGAAGTCGGACTAAAAAATGGGATCAAATGTCACCCCATCGAGAAGAAAAAAATATTGGACAAAATGTCGTAAAGGACAACAGTCCGTCCACCCCAGGCCCGTAGCCAGGATTTTTTTTCGGGGGGGGGGGGGGGGGGGGGGGGGAATTTTTTGCGCCAAATTTTTGGCGCCTTCGGCGCCAAAAATTTTTATTTTCAGCGCCGCAGGCGAAAATTTTTTGAATTTTAGAAGGTCGTAGGCCAAAAAAATTCACTCTTTCGGCGCCGCAGACGCCAAAATTTTGATTTTCAGCGCCGCAGGCAAAAATTTTTTGGATTTTGGACCTTAAGAAGCCAGATTTCTTCCTTTTTTAGCGCCGCAGGCGAAAATTTTTTAAATTTCAGAGGCCGTAGGCCGAAAAAATTCACTTTTTTTGCCCCAGCCCTTCCCCAAATTTTTTCTTTTTCTTATTTCGGGGGGGGGGGGGGGGGGGAATTCCCCCCCTCACCCCCCCCCTGGCTACGGGCCTGGTCCACCCCCAAACAAAGATTGGGATAAAATGTCATTAAAAATCCCCTATTTTCACCCTAAAAATAATTTTAAAAAACCCCTCCACCAACCATTGTCTACTTCCAGCCATACAACTTATTTTAACATAATCACCCTTTTCAATTGTAGCTCCAAAACTAATATTTTCTTCTTCTGTCCAAACAAGTTCTGAATCTGTTTTTCGACTATAAAATGCCCAATTACAATTTATATTGTGAAGACCAATTTTGCTGAAAAAGTTTAAGAAAATTAAAATTAGGTCGAAAAATGAAAAAATTTTGGTACTTTATTAATATCCCACCCCTATTTGAGTCTCAGATTAATTTTCCTTTTTTAATGTCAATCATTCTTTCCCTCACAAATTTTAAGTAATTGACAAACTAGAAGGCCTCCTTTCTAATTTTTCTCCTTTTAAACTGCTTTTTACCTATAATCTGCAAGGGACAGAATCATTGACATTAAAAAAGAAAACTAATCTGAGACTCAAATTCCCTCTGCTACGGATGAGTTGAAACAATAATCCCCCCAAATACCCTACTACACGTTCAAATTTCAAAACTCGAATAATTCTCTCCTTTGAACGGATGGGCTGAAAAAATTAATTTCCCAGGGGAATTAATCGAGTAAATACGGTAAATCAAAAAATTAAAAATAAACCTTTTTGCATATTCTGTCGGTTGTACTCTCCTTTCCTCGTCAATATAAACCCAAGGTTTAGGCTTCCTTTTAGCACAGTCCAATGGAGGATATTTTTTGTAAAATTTAATTACTTCAGAACCGTTAACTTCAAGTTTTGGAATTTTACAAGCCTTGAAAGGGAAAATTTTTTTTTTGAAATTTTTAAAATTTTTAAAAATCAAAACCTGTTGTTTTTCCCCAACATTTTTAACAGTTTGTCCTTTTTTCCATTTAAACTAGAAAAAAATCGTTAAAGAAAATTTTTTGTCTGTTCAGGGTAACGGTTATAAGAGGCCTCTAAGTAAAGTCTATAGATCATCAACACGTCTAAAATCCCGATTTTCTAATTTAATAAAATTTCTTAAGTTTAAAAATCGTTCTAAGAGCAACCCAAACGGTTCAATTCGGTCTTTAAAGTAACTTAAAAATTAATTCCCCCACGCGGGTTCGAACCCACGAACCCCAAAAAGCTCATCAGCACTACTAAAATCCAGATTTACTAATTTAATAAAATTTTCTGGGTTCGAAAATCATTATAAAACCAACCAAAACGGTCTAATTTGATTTCTAAAAAAATTAAAAAATTAATTTCCCCGAACGGGTTCGAACCCACGACCCCCAATTTTTAAAAAACCTTTACATCTTTCTCAATCTCAAATAATTTTAAATTTTGTTCTCCACCAATATCTTCATTGCTTTTAAATAATAAAGTGTTAAAAATAATTAGTGTAGAGACAAGTAAAATAATAAAAGGAAAAATAGTTCGAATAACCCGTCTTCTCTTTGAGGACATCATTTAAAAAATTTAAATATTAGGCGAGTTTCTGCCAGCATTTAAAAGAAAAGCTCTGAAATTATTGCTTGAATTATGGAGAAAAAATCTTTAAATAAAATTAAAAAAAAATTTTTTACAGCTCTGTAAACACACAAGTTTTTCAGATGTTTAGCCAAGCTGTAAATTTTTTTTCTTTAATTCAAAATCCGATTAAAAATAGAAAATCCCCAAAAAAATTATGGAGAAATTTTTATTAATTATGGAGAAATTTATTGTTGTTTAGATTAAGAAGAAAAAATTTTAAAATTAAAAAAATTTTTTACAGCTCTGCTAAACAATGATATTTTCATGTGTTTAGCCAAGCTGTAAATTTTTTTCTCTTTAATTCAAAATCCGATTAAAAAATAGAAAATCCCCAAAAAATATTATAATTATTTTTTAAAACAACTCACCGTTTAATAAATACCCTCCATCAACAACAGGATTAAAAAAAAATAAAAATGGATTATTGCAGGAATTATTATTTGTGTAGGGAATTATCTTTGTACTTATTAATTAAACGCAAATTAAAATAAAAAAATAATATAAAAATAATTTTGTTGTTTTTACAAAAACATATAAATAATAAAGAAACAAAATTTCAAGAAAAAAAATATTTTTTTTCAATTTTTAATGATTAAATAAAAAACTTGTTTTAGACTAAATAATGGTTCTCTTTTAGGCAACTCCACAAAAATTCACTCAAGTTTATAAAACTTTTTTTTCTCAAAATAATAAGGGAATTATTTTATGGGGGAATAAAAGAACCAGTAAAATACACAGATAATAATAAAATATTAAATTATAATCAAAAAAACAAAACAACATTCTCGGTAGTACTTAAGCATACAGACCCCATTTTTTCATTCCCAATTTTTTCCTATATTTTTCAAAATGGTCAGGCATTTTCCTTTCTTCCATCCAATTTGCCTTTCTTATTTTTGCTTTTTTGTTTGATTGTATGCAAAAATAAGAAAGGCAAGTTGGATGGAAGAAAGAAAAAAATCTGACCATTTTGTAAAAATATAGGGGGAAAATTGGGGAGGAAAAAATGGGATCTGTCAGGTTCAATATTACCAAAGAACCAGTAAAATACATATGTATATACACAGATAATAATAAGATATTAAATTATAATCAAAAAAAACAAAACTACAAAATTCTCTCACTTTTTATTTAAGGTTTCTAATTGATCAAAAACTTGGGAAAATGTTGGCCTCAAAAAACGATCATTCTTTAAAAAAATAAAAAAATATATCATGTATATAGTTTCTTTATATACAGTCGAACCTCAATCTAGGGATTAACAAAAACTAAAAAAATGAAATTCGCCAAAACAGAATTAAATTCACGTGAATTTTCTCTCGTTAATTTTTAGTGGATAAATATATAAAAATTTAGTGTTGCTAAATAAAAATTCCAGCAAAAAAATTATTTCTGAGAGATAATTGAGAATAAGTCCCCCCTAAAAACAAACAAGAGTATTTGTTGGCCTCAAAAAACGTCCAAACACCAAAAACTTTAGTTGCCCAAAAAATTCATTTAAATGAATTCACGTGAATAAAAATTCCAAAAATGTGGCAAATTCCTTTTTTTTAAATTTTTCTCTTAATCTAATGATTTTTAATCCCTTCTAGCTTTTTATGCAAAATCAGCCCATTTTTCAAAATTAAACTGCAACATTATTTTATTGTGAGTTCCGACTGTAATTTAAAACAAATAATCTTTCCTCCCCCACCTTTGTACATGCAATCCCTAGCATTATTAATAATTCAAATATTTGTTTATATTGTTGATTATCACCTTGAAAAAAAATTTTTTAATTATCAAATCCCAGGCACTTTTTGGGGATCCCGCTCCTCCCCTTAGTCTGCGTCTCAGTTTCCCTTAACATACATAATGGTCAGCTTCCTAATTTTACAGTATTTTTCAGTGGCAACAAAGTCTGACCATTATGTACATATTTAAAAAACAAGGAGACTCAGACTAAGGGGAGGAGGGGGTCCAAAAAGTACCTAAAATTTTCTTTCTCCCCTCTCACCTATAACAATTCTTTTATCACTCAAAATTTCAGCCATTTTAACACCTCCATCCAGTCTATAATATTTATTAGTATATTCGACCAATCCTTGAGGTTCTCTATTAGACAAAAAAGCTCGTTGTCCACTAGCCATTTCTAACAAAACTACCCCAAAACTATAAACATCCAATTTTGTAGTCAAAATTTGGCTTGTAGTAAATTCTGGGGGTAAATAAGCTAAAGTCCCCTTTATATGTGATGCTATCATTGGCTTTTTCCCATCTTCAAAATTTTCTAATTGTCCATCTCGACTCAAGCCGAAATCTCCCAATTTTGGTTCAAAATGTTTATCTAACAATATATTTGCTGATTTTACGTCTCCGTGTATTATAGGCATTGTCCCTGTTGTGTGGAGAAAATGGAGACCACAACTAACACCTTTTGATATTGATAAACGAAGAGGCCAGTCAAGTGGAGGTGTTGAATTCTTTAAAAAAATTTCAAAAAATTTCTTTAAAGAATATTTTTTGCCCCCCACAATTTTTTTTAACTTTTTGTAGTTATAGTGTAGTGGAATAAAATTTGGTTTTCACTAGTTAAGGTATTGTGGGTTCGAATCCCATTAGCGGAAATTATTTTATACATTAATGGGATTAATTTTTTAAACTAAAAATATTTCTAAAATATTTTCCTCTGCCTTACAAAAGTTTGTTTCTAAATTTTGCAGTTTTGGTGTAGTGGGATAAAATTTGGTTTTCATTATTTTAGGTAGCGAGTTCGAATCTCACTCAAGGAAAACAATTTTTTATTTTAACTTGAGTAATTCTCCTTAAATAAAAATTGCTTTCCTTGAGTGGGATTCGAACCAATAACCCTCAAGCAGTAAAAATCAAAAATTAACCCACTACACCAAACCCACAAAAATTCATAAAAACACCCAAAAAACTAACCCTACAAAGTAATCTATCCTCTAAAGATCCATTAGACATAAATTGATATATTAAACAAGGTTCTGGACCATCCAAAGAATAACCATATAAAGACAAAATGTTGTCATGTCTAAATTTGGCTAGAGTTCGTAATTCTTGTAGGCTTTGACGTAAACGTTCTTTTTGATGCTTAAAAAAATTTTTTTTAATTTTTTTAGCATAAAAATTTTTTAGAAAAAAAATTTTTACTTTTTACTATGATTAATTTTAAAAAGCAAAAAATTAAAAAAAAACTAATAGACGTAAAAAATAAAAATCAATTAATCATTTTAAATATAAAATAGGGGAAAAAATATATATAAAAATGAGGAGACATATAAAAATTAGAAAAAAAAATTATTTATTAGTAGTCGACTTTGAATAGGAATAGATTATCTCTTTATAGATATTAAAAAGGAAATTTTAGGAAAATTAAAAAAATAAAAAGTAATGTTGTTGTAGTTAATTTTACATCAAGAGAGAAAGAGAGAAAAGAAAAAAGAGAAAATTTTTGAGAAAATAAAAAATTCTCTTTCTCCCCAAGGTTATATTTTTTAATAAAAGATTACCTAAATTTTGTAAAATCAACAATTCAACGTCTTAAAGGAAATATTTCTTTAAGACGTTCCCCAAATTCTCCTTTCTCCCATACATATTTCTCCCAAAAAAAAGAAACCAAAAAAATTTTTTTGGGGGATCCAAAAATTTTCAAAAAATTTTTTTAAAAAAAGCAACAAACCTGTTCATATTCTTCTCCTCTTCCATTTTTCTTTCCTTGAATTCGTTTAACAGCAACTTCAGTATGCTTCCAATTTCCTTTATAAACAACTCCATAACCACCCTTTCCAAGTATTTGTTCTTGTGCCCAATTTTGTGTTGCAATAATTATATCAGAATAGGGGACAGTTAAAGTGCTTTGTAGACCAGTTAAAATTGCATTACTAGCAGACTATAATAAATTTAAAAAATTTGAATTTAAACAAACCAATTTTTTTGAAATATTAAAAATCCCCTAGTTTAAAGAGACTGAAAAAAGACAAAAAAACCCCAATTTAAAAAATAGAAACTAAAAAAAGTCGTTCTAAATAAGGTAAAAAAATTAAAAAAAAATTTTTTTAGTTTGTAAGAATTAGAAAAAAAATTTTTTTTAATTGTTTGGTTATGAAAAAAAATTTTTAAATGAAAAAGAATGAGTCAGATAGTAAGGGAGAAGGCTACTTGGAGTCAAAAGGAATCGAACCCACATCCCTCCCCCAGAAAATCAAACACACTACCATTCAGCTAACTTGCTTCTTAGAGGAACTTTTAAAAAATAGAAATAAATCCAATTCACAAATAGAAAAATAGTTGTCCTAAAGAGGGTAAAAAAATTTTTTTTAATTGTTTGGTTGTGAAAAAATTTTTTAAATAAAAATGAAAGGGATAGAAATCAATAGAAGGCTAGTTGGAGGCAAAAGGAATCGAACCTACCTACTTCCCCCAGAAAATCAAACACACTACCATTCAGCTAAAATCTATATTGAAAGAACTTTAAAAAATTAGAAATAAATCCTATTTAAAAATGATCCCCAATTTCATAAATTAAAATAAACCGAGTGTTGTTGTTGTTCGGGCAAAGATTGTGGAGCACTCTCAGCACTCGAAATTCATAAAATTCAAAGAAATATTTTCCACAAATTTTTTAATTTATTAAAAAAACCTTTACGAGAATAGACACCAAAAGATCCCTGTTTTGCAACTGAGGCTTTTTTTGATTCATTTAAATTATTATTAATTAAATTATTTCTTCCAATTGAAGGAAAAGGTGCTTGTTGCTGTTGAGGTTCTTCATCACATACTTGGGCATATTTGTGAAATTTTGGTTCAACTAAAAAATTTTTTAGAAATATTTTTTAATTGAAATCAAAAAATTTTTTGAGTATGAATGTTGACCAAAGGACTTTTAAAATGCTTCTGAACCTTAAAATTCTAGAAAAGATGGTGGAGGAAAGACTTTAGCCAGAAATTTGAAAAAAATTTTTTAATAAAAAAAGATGGGAATTTTCAACTCTTGTGTATCACGCTTAGTTTCTTCCTAATTCTCTCCAAAAGGACTAAAATCCTTTTTGATTTATATAGTTGCTAAAGGCATCTAAAAGCAAACTGGGAAGAAAATAAAAATGTGGCACACAAATTACAATTCGTATAAAAGACCCAGATTGTTGAAAGCCCGAGAAACATTTTTAAAATATAATTAGGAAAAAACAAACCGAAAGGCAACAGAATCTGCATACATCGAATAAGTTTAGCACGAAAAAATATTTTATACAAATCCAGTATTCGATAACCTTTTGACCCCCAAATTCTAAGCAAAGTTTCTGTTGGATGGCCATCACTAGTTAAAGCGAGTTTTTTGCATGCTTCGGTGTCAATATCCTGAATTCCGGGCATTAAAAAGGCTGAAAATTATTTTAAAAATTAAATAGAAGAAAATAAAAACTAAATAAAAATTAATGTCCCTCAGTGGGGTTCGAACTTGCCCCCCTTTGGTACGTAATCAAGGAATTTACCTACTACACCACGGAAGCCAGAAAAAGGGGTAGATAGATACACTCCGAGAGGCTTGAAAATTACTCTTAAAAAGTTTTAAATTTAATATCCCCCGGAAGGGTTCGAACCTTGACCCCCTCTTTATCTGAAAATCAGGGACTTAACCAACTACACCAAGAAGGCCACTTAGCTGTTTTCTTAATTTTAGGTGGCCTGGAACTATTTATATAAAGTAGACTAATTATTCAATTTAAACATTTTTATCAAAATATTTTTAAACAAAAATTCAAAAAAAGACAAACCTATCGTCTCCCAACAATCCCCAGGATCCAATAAAGTCGCTAACTCGTTAACAATTCTAGCAGGCAATTGAAAAACATAAATGGGTGATTCTAGATTAGCAGAAGTAGTCATTTAAAATAAAAGGGAATAAAAAAAGATAAAGAAATTTCCGAAAAAATTAGGCTAGAAAAACAGAAAAAAATGTTTTGAATAATCAACAAAAATTTAAAGTTTGGCATAATGTTATTTTTGTATTTTTCTCTAAATTTTTTTAATTTTACGTACTATTTCGCTTGTTTGATGAGAATTTTTGTTGTTGAATTTTTGGAGAATTTTTTGTTAAATTTTTTTGTTTATTTTTGTTTTTATTTTTAAAATAATTTTTTTTTTCAGTTTTAGATTTAAAGTTTGACTTGACAAGTGAAGTAAATTTAAAATGGATTTTGAATATAAAAAAGAAGAGGAGACTATGGGGGTTTGTTTTATTTTTTTTAAATAATTATTGGGATTTCTAAAAAGTCTGGACCTATGTTTTCTAGGCTACTTGATTTATTTACTGGGACGTGATTTTAGGTCTTGTGTCAATAAATAAATCCGTGTCTTGGAAAGAGAAAAAACAGAAACTCAACAACTTCCTTTGCCATGTACAGGACAGGAAAATCCTAATCCTTGACCCTGCCCCCTCTTCTGGTTTTAAATTATTTTTTTTTTTGCTCCCCAGAGTTTGGGGCTCAATCCAGCCCGGTCCGAAACATCGAGTCGGACTTCGAATTTTGACCCGAAAGAGACTCGTTCGGGCCGGCCAGATAAAAAGGAGGCCCGAAAAAATGACTCGAAAAAATGCGGCCCGACTCGAAAACTCCAACCCTACCAGGCTTAATTTATTGACTTGAACTGATCCTTGGTTTTGACTCGGTCACAGGTAAAAGCTTACGCCTTTACCCAAAACAAACCTTTTTGTTTTTAAATTATCTTTTAACCTTTAATCAATTTTTTTCTTCAGACAACTCTAATTGCTGTTGAGACAAAGGAAGGAATTATTGTTGCAACAGATTCTCGTACAAGTCAAGGCTCTTACATTTCTTCCCGCGCTACAAACAAAATTTCTACAATTAGCGATCATATTGTTGGGTTAAGAGCTGGGGTAGCTTCGCAATCTCAAGCAATTTTTGATATTGTAAAGTATTATGCTGAGGCACATTCGTTAGTTTTTTTTAATTATATATTTTTTTTGCCCGGCAACTACAGGTTTAGGCCCATATAAGACTCGTTTCAGGCCTACAGCCATGAAAAATTTTTGTTGGGAAAAATCCACACTCCTGGCTATGGGCCTGACTTGTTTCGTATTTATTAGACTTCTTCCTCTTTTCCAGGGAGATAGAAAAATGAGAAAATAAGGAGGACACTAAACCGATTTTTATCGAGATTGGTTCCAGGCACCTTTACTGGGGCAGGCGCCTTATAACATGTTTTATGGTTTCTTGACTTTTTTCTTTAACTTAAAAGTCTAGGATATACTTGACAATTTTTTGAGCAGATATTTCTTGTCCTCCAAATTAAAAGGAGTTTGCCCAAAAATTTTTTTTTAAATCCTGTCAAGTTTTCTCATTAGCTCTGTCTTTTCTAAAAATTTTTACCCTTACCAAGGGCATAGCCAGGAGGTCGATTTCAAGGTGGCGATCATTTCCCCCCTAAAATTTTTTCACTTCCCATATTTCAGGGAGCGCTATAGCCCCAGAAGCCCCCCTGGCTATGCTCTTGACCCTTACCAAAAAAATTTATTTTTAAATTTAGAATGCTTGATGAAGAACCTATACTTGTTTACAACGTTGCTCAATATACTCGCAAATTTGCATATAATTATCGGGATCAAATGACTTTTAGTATTATTGTTGCTGGTTATGATGAAGAAAAACTTGGACAAATTTATGCTGTGACTATTGGAGGGTATTCTATTCGACAAAAAATTTATATTACTGGAAGTGGAAGTACTTTTCTTTATGGATATATGGACAAGAATTTTAAGGAAGGAATGTCAAATGAAGAGGCTGTTGAGGTTTTCTAAAAATAATTTTTTTTTATTTATTTGGGGCTTTTCTTATTGACTTATCCAGGCCCGTAGCCAGGGGGGTAGGCCCGTAGCCAGCGCGGGGGGGGGGGGGGGGGGGGGTAATTTTTATTTGGGGAAAATAAAAATTTTTGGCGCCTTCAAAAAAATTTGGCGCAAAAAAATTTTTCCCCCCTTGGCCCCTCCCGAAAAAAAATCCTGGCTACGGGCCTTCATTTTTGATCTATTAATTCATTTTTGATCTATTAACCGTTTTACCTGTTTCTTCCCTCAAAAAAGGAGGCACTAATTTTTTTGAACCTCCCTCCCTGTTTTTGTTGGATTCCCCGTTAATCAGTTTTTTCCTTTCCGTCCCTCAAACAAACTCTCTACCACAGAGAGTTTGTTTGGAAGGCCATATCTTGGCCAAATCAAAAAACGGGCAAAAACGGCTCAAAATCCTTGCTAGAAAGGGCACATTCTCTATCGAATGAGCTCGGTCTCGACCGTTTTTAACTCGGACATCTCGCAAACTCTCCTTGTAAGTCTACTCCAAAATCAAAATTTCTAACATTTTTACAAATTAACCAAAATTTAAACAAATATAGTATACGGCAAGAGCGTAGCCAGGGGCTTCTGAGGCTATAGCCCTCCCTGAAATTGGGAAAGTGAAAAATTTTTAGGAGGGAAATGATCAGAACGCTTTTAATTTTTTTTAATTAAAAAAATTTTTTTTCCTTTCTAAAGTTGGTTAAAAATGCTGTTTGTCTTGCAAAACGTCGTGATGCTATGTCTGGTGGATGTATTAATTTGGCTATTATTGATAAAAATGGAACTATTCATAAGGTTTTTTAAATTAAAAAGAAATTTTAAAAATTAAAAAAAATTTTCCTTTTAAAGACAATTCGTCCTGACATGCCAGACCATCCAAAAATTTGAGAAAATTTCCAAAAAAATATTGAGAGAAAGGAAATGAAAAGAAAATATTTGAGGTTTTTTTTGTTTTGTCGAATTTATTTTAATTATTTAAAATAATTGGATAAATAAAAAAATTTTTTCCTTCCTTTTTTATTCTTCATTGACACTAAATAGGTAGGCTTGGCCAAGAGGTCGGGCTTAAATTTGAAAAAAAAATTTTTTTTGGAAAAGAAATTTTTTTGGAAAAAATTATTTTTTGAAAAAAATTTTTTGAAAAATTTTTTGAAAAAATTTTTTTTGAAAAATTTTTTGAGAAAAATTTTTTTGAAAAATTTTTTCAAATTTTTTCTTGAAAAAATTTTTTTAAAAATTTTTTCAAAAATTTTTTTTTAATTTTTTTTGAAAAATTTTTTGAAAAATTTTTTTTTGAAAATTTTTCAGAAAATTTCATAAAAAAATTTCCAAAAAAAATTCAAAAAAAAAAACAAACTTGGGACAGTAATATTCAACGGCTTTCTAAAATCAAACAGTGTAGGGGCAGAAATAATAATTGAAAAAGTAGCCATATTTAAAATTGAAAAGACTAGAAGAAAGAAACGGTCTAAAACCATTGCTACAAATGTCCAGTCATTTGAAATCTGTTTTAAAATTTTAAAATAAAAATTGAAAAAAGACGCAAACATTAGCATCCTCCTCGCGTTGACGAAAATAATTAGCGATAAAATGTACCTTTAATTAGAAATGTGTTTTTTAATGTTTTGTGTTTTTATCCGGTGTATTTTATAGCTATTTTTTGTGTTTTCCGGAAACGTTTAATTAAAGTTTTGTATTTTTTTCCGGAAGTTGTTTTTGTATTTTCTTGTGTTTTCCGGAACGTTTAATTAAAGTAATGTATTTTTCCGAAAATGTTTAATTAAAGTTTTGTGTTTTCCGGAAAATTTAATTAGAATATTGTAGTATTTTTTCCGGAAGTTGTTTTTGTATTTTCTTGTATTTTTGTATTGATCTTGTATTTTCCGGAAATAAACAAATTATTGTAGTTTATTTTTTCCGGAAGTTGCAATTTAATTGTTCTTGTATTTTCCGGAAATGTTTAATTAAAGTAATGTATTTTTTATTTTTGTGTTTTCCGGAAAATTTAATTAAAATATTCTATTCCTTTTCCAGAAATCTTTTTTATATACAATTATTCTTTTATTTTCCGGAAAATACTTAAATAGGCTCCCCTACAAAGGATAGATGAATTAAAGGATAGATGCACTAAAGGATAGATACGCCCAAAAACTATCAAAGGATAGATGCATCAAAGGATAGATGCGCTAAAGGATAGATACAGCCAAAAGCGATCAAAGGATAGACAGCTGAATAGGTCGTTTGAGTCTGGACAAAAATATTTAACAATCTGAATCTTCCCTGGAAAAACTGTTTTTGTGCTGCTACGGAGGGTAGGCCGGGCATGGTCTTCGCTACACGATGGCCGTGCTTCGCTGCGGTCGTGCTCGCTTCGCTCGCGGCGACCGTAGCGAAGCGGCTGCCGTCGTTCCGCTCGACATGCCCGGCTTCCTCCGCAGCGGCAAAAACTTTTTTCGCGAATATACTAAAGTACGAATAAAATAAAAATCAGAACAGAAACATGAACTCAGAACAAAGATCAGAAAAAACAAACAAAGATCAGGCACTCAACAGTTGGTACTCAACTGGACTCCAAACTTTATCTATGTTTTACCCAATTTTAGACGTGTCTATACTTTAATGGATTTTACCCCTATCTATCCTTTGGCGCATCTATCCTTTGATGCATCTATCCTTTAATCGTTTTTTCCCTTATCTATCCTTTAGCAGATTTTGGCCGCGTCTATCCTTTGATCGATTTTAGCCGTATCTATCCTTTGATTCATCTATCCTTTGAGCGGGCACGCTTAAATACATGCAACTGGAAAAAGAAACACAAAAATTCCCCCTACTTGTCTAGCCAGATTGTATAAAACTCGTTGTTCATTCCATGTATATTCAATCTTCTTCAATTTTTGACTTTTATTGCTACAAAATTGTTGCCGTATTTCTCTACTTGTAGAAGGTTCTGCATAAATATTTTCTTCCGAAAAATTTTTTTCTTTTGAATTATTATTTTTATCAGAATTTTTATGGGTATTTGTTGTTGTAAAGGAAAAATATGGGGGCGGTTTGTCATATTTTTCTTTTTTATTTTTGTTAAAAATTGAAGTTTGTGGGAGTTTTGAGCGATTATTAAATAAATTTGAAGGGGAGGAAATGGTTGCCTTTTTATTAGAATATTCAAAATTAAAGGAAGAGGAAGATGATGAAGGTTCAAGTCCTTGTCTTGTCTCCACCATAAAATTGTTTAATGAATTTGTGTTTGTTTCGAGTTGTTGACGCTCGGGGCGTTTCATTAACAAAATTCTGAGAATATTAAAAATATAATGAAAATACAACTTTTTCGGAAAAATACACTTCTTTCCGGAGGAAATACATATTTTCCTGAAAATACAATTTTTCCGGAAAATACAATTTTTTCCGGAAAATACAATTTTTCCGGAAAATACAATTTTTTCCGGAAAATACAATTTTCCGGAAAATACAATTTTTCCGGAAAATACAATTTTTTGCGGAAAATACAATTTTCCGGAAAATACAATTTTCCGGAAAATACAATTTTTTCCGGAAAATACAATTTTTCCGGAAAATACAATTTTTTCCGGAAAATACAATTTTCCGGAAAATACAATTTTTCCGGAAAATACAATTTTTTCCGGAAAATACAATTTTCCGGAAAATACAATTTTTCCGGAAAATACAATTTTTCCGGAAAATACAATTTTTTCCGGAAAAATACACTTCTTTCCGGAGGAAATGTATTTTCCGGAAATTAAAAAGAAACAAAAATTCCTGAAGAAATAAACCTTTACGGAAATTATTGCAAAAATACACTTTTCCGGAAATTGCAAATAATTTAATAAGAATTCCGGAAAAATTAAAACATCTTTCCGGAAGATTGTAAATTACTTTGGTAAAACACCCAAAAATACAATTCGAATCCACGGGGACATTTGATGAGTAGAACCATTTCGAAAACGAATATTTACTGAAGCCTATAATAATTAAATTTAATTTTTAGTAAAATTAAAGGAATTTTATAAATAATATTACCACAGAAAAAAGTGTTGAGAGGGCAACCAAAATCTAAAAAGTAATTTCTTATAAATGATTGTATAAAATACAAAATTTTCCGGAAAATACAAACATTTCCGGAATTTATTTTAATAACATATGAACGTTTCCGGAAAAATACAAGTGGGATAAAAATGTGTTTTCGGAAAATACGGGAATAGAAAAGAAAAATACAAAGAGAAATAAAAATTTCCGGAATAAATTATATATGAACGTTTCCGGAAAAATACAGGGTGTTTCAACTAAGCAATACTATTTGAAAGCTCAATAATTTTTTACTAAGTCGACAGATTTTATAGATATTTTGTATTTTATATCTATATTTTATAGCATTTTTTTTGACATAAAAATTATGTCTAAATTCGAACCCTAACCCGAGATAATTTCGTACTCTACCGTTCTGTTTTTCCCTTTTTCCGCACATGCATTCTTACTTCCCTTTATTTGTTGTAAAGGGAGACAGACACTAGAGTAAACACTAGGCGATAATCACTACATTTTCAATACAGTATCCACTCTTCGTCATACACAGAAAAATAAATGCACTAAGATAGCACACAATGAAAAGAGGGAAAAAAGAGAACGGTAGAGTACGAAATTGAAATACAGGGTTGGGGTTCGAATTTAGACATAATTTTTATATGAAAAAAAATGCTAAAAAATATAGATATAAAATACCAAATTTCATAAAAATCGTCCATGCAGTAAAAAGTTATAGATTTTTAAAATAGTATTTCTTAGTTGAAACACCCTGTATTTCTTAGTTGAAACACCCTGTACAATAAAGAGAAATACAAAACAAAATCAAAAGTTTCCGGAATTGTAAAATATGTTTAATTACTTTTTACAAATCGTAAAATCGTAAATAAACTTGAAAACTTAAGTTTGTATAAACAAGCCTTTCATAAAATGAAAAACAATTATTATTCCGGAACTTAATTCCGGAAAATATTAAAAATAAAAATATTCACCATAGTTGTAATTAAATATTGTCCAAACATGGGTACTTCCAAACTTGTTGGAGGCATTAAATCAATCAAAACCAAAAAGAAAACTGTAAGTGTAACCAGTATAGAAATTGAAAATGTTATTTTATGATCCGGAAGGTAAAACACAAATGTTGTCAAAAAAGAAATTAAAAAACAAGGAACAATTAAATTACAAGTGAAGAAAAGGCTGAAGAATTAATGAAGAATTTTAATTTTAATTTTTTTTTTAATTTTACGTTTTCCGCCTCAATTCCAAATAATAAGTTATGTCAACATAACTAAGAAAAATTTTATTTTTTTAATTAAAATCTTAATTTTACGTCTCTGGGCCACAACAACTTGTGTAAAGTACTGCATGTCTTGCAGACGTTAAATTCATTAAATCCCATTCTGCTGATCTGTAAAAATTTAAAAATGTAAATTAATTTGGGAAATATAATGTAAATTGAAGTATAATTTTTGTAATCTTAAAGTTGCAACTGTAGGAAAAATTAATTTGGGATTAAAACGGAAACTTAAAAAAATAAACTTGAATAAACTTGAAAAATAAACTTGAGTTTGTAATAATTAAGAATTAAGTTTAAACTTGAAATTGTAAAACCTAAATAAACTTGAACTTTAAAAAATCATAAATAAACTTGAATTTCTACTTAAACCTGAATTCGTAAAACTTAAGTTTGAATTTTCAAGTTAGTAATAATTAATAATTAAGTTCAAACTTGAAATGGTAAAACTTAAATAAACTTCAACTTAGAATTGTAAAATAATAAATAAACTTGAATTTGTAAACTTGAACTTTCAAGTTTTAATAATTTTTAAGCTGTAATTATGAACTTTTTAATTTTTAATTATAGCTAGTAATTTTTAAAAATATAAGTAAAATATACTTATAAAAAAAGCTCAAATCCATTCCCATTTCATTATATTCAATATCATCGTCTTCCTCTCTTTTTTTATTTAAATTAATTTTATTATTAACATTTTCAGAATTTTCTTGTTGTATTAAATGTAAATCAACATAATTTCCAGTATATGACCAGGCACCAAATTTCATTCTACAATCTTGTTTGTCATAAGGAAACCATTTTACTTTTATCTTTAAAAAATTTTAAAAATATTTTTTTAAATTTAACTGGACAAAAAGATTTGTAAATTGCTGGGGGCTGCCAATAAACACGTCCATTATACGAAATTAGGGCATCAGTGAAAATTCTTAATTTTTGGAATTTATTATTTAGAATAAAAATATTTTAATTTATACGTTATGTCCGGATCGCCTGCCGCATTGTCATATAATACAAAATCGGGTATCCATATATCAGTGCTAGGGATGTGTAACTGACGAATACCTTTAGGATGAAATTAATTAATTTTAATTAATTTTTAAATTTGTAAAAATTATTATAAATTTTAACTTAAGGATTACAATTGTAAATAAAAAATAAGCTTAAATTCTTAAAAATTTAATTAAACTTGAAGTTGTAAAATTGTTAAATAAACTTTAAAGTTCAAGTTTGCAATAATTAAAAATTAAGTTTAAACTTGGATTGTAAAATTCAAACTTAAATTTAATAAACTTGAATTTATAAAATAACAATTTCTATGTAGATTACAATTGTAAACTCAAAAATAAACTTGAATTTTTACAAACTTAATTAAACTTGGAATTTGTAATCTTAAATAAACTTGAAATTCCAAGTTTTAGGAAATTATATAATTTTAAAGTTGTAATTGTAAAAGAATATTTTTAAATTACAATTTCTAAATAATAAACTTGGAATCTTAAGTGTCTAATAAAAATTTAAAATTTATTCTTTTTCAAATCAAATCAAATTTATTTTTAAAAAATATTTTATAAATACATACCCCCATATTTATTAGGATCCCATTGGAGACGCGCATCACTCCACCTCTCCAAAATTGAAAAAAATAATTAATTTTTAATATAAATTTCCCAACCATTTCTAACCATAAATTGGTTGTTAAGACTTGATTCTTTTCATCCTAAAAATATTTTAATTTTCTTAAATAAATTAATTATCTAGACAAAACTAACAACATCGATGATTCTAAAATATATTTTTCATTAAAAATTTATTTTTTAATTTTTGCCTTATTAGAGAAGCTCCAACATCAATATGAAGCACATCTGTGCCTTAAAATATTTTCGAATTTATCTTAAAAATATTTAAAAAATAATCAACTATTTTTAACAGGTCTGGAAATTCTGTTGTAATCAAAAAGTAAATCCTTTGGAAAGTTTAAAAATTAATTTTATTTAATTTTTAAATAAGGCAAACTTCGTATAATTGTGCCTCATAATTTTTTCTACTTATTTTAGTGCTGGTAAATTGTGGAATAAATATAAGAGGAATTAAAGTTGTTAAAATGAGCATTTTGTAATATTTATTTTTACAATATAAAATTATTTTTGCAACTTGGCGCAATAAAACTTGAAAAATAAAATTGAAGTTTACAAACTTAAAACTTGAAATATAATTTATTTAAAGTTTTACAACTATTTTTAAGTTTTACGCTCCAGGTCAATTCGCCCTGCGTGGAGGCATTATAGATGTTTACCCTTTTACAGAAAAGTTTTACAAGTTTATATTCAAGTTTATTTTATTTTCAAGTTTATTTTTCAAGTTGCAATTTATCACAAACTTAAAATTACAATTATTTTAAGCTTTACAAACTTAAGCGTAAAAATAAACTTGAATTTTAAATTTATTAAAAAGTTTTTCTCAATGCTTACATAAACTATTGGACAAATATGGCTAAAATAAAAAACTAGTCAATAAGAATTAGTTATATAGACTTTTATTGAAAAAGAAGAAGCTTTTCTTTTAAAATAATCCCTCAAACAATAAGACTTTGCAATGGCAAAAAAATTTCTTTTATTTAAAATAAATTGGAAAATAAAATAAGGGAAATGTGTGAGGACAAATTAAATATTATTTTAAATTTATTTTTAATTTTTATTAAAGAAAAATAAAATTTGAAGAATTAATTTTTTAAAATATTATTGATGGTCTTTTCATTTGTTGTTGACCTTTCCAAACACTATAGCCAATTATTGTTCCGAGAGAACCAATACCCAAAAGAACTCCGGAACTATGAAATAATTATATTTAAAATTAAAAAAATTATTTTTACAAAATAGTCATTCGATTATGGAAGCTTTCTCGTAAGGACCTCTTTCTTGTTCTCTCACAAATGAAAACTAAAATTATAAAAATAAGTTTCAAGCTTGAGCTTAAATAAATTAAAACTTGAGAAAATGTTGAGAAATGAGAATTAAATAAACTTAAGACTACAAACTTAAAAACTTGAAATAAACTTGAAGTAGAGAAATACAAATCAGAATTAATGAAAATTACAAATTGTAAAAATCAGAATTAATGAAAATTACAAATTGTAAAAATCAGAATTACTGAAAATTACAAATTGTAAAAATCAGAATTACTGAAAATTCCAAATTGTAAAAATCAGAATTACTGAAAATTACAAATTGTAAAAATCAGAATAATTTCTGGTTATCTTACCATTATTTCCTAGCCCAAAGGTTGCGGTAGCAACAGGTTGTAATTCTAGCTGTCCTGCCAACGGAAGCAACTGCACAATAACATTCTTACGACGTCGCTTATGTAACGTTATATTAATTGCTTTAAATTAAAAATATTTTTATTTCAAAAATATTCTACCGTCTCTACAAACAAATTTCTGATTTAAAGGGACATTAATTGAAGAAGTATTCTTTCCACTAGTAAATAAGGTACTGTTGTTTCTAGAAGATCCATTCCAACGAATTTTATATTCTACCATACTCAATTCCCATCTTAACTCGTGGAGGGAATAAAGCGTTCTGGAGGCGGCAGATGATGAAATAGTGTTGGAGCGTGAAAAGAGTGGAAGTGCTTTTTCGCGAAAAATAAACTTGAGAGTTTTACGTTGTATCCCTTTGCGCCAACTTGCTTGAAACTTAAATTGTAAAAATCATAATTTAAAATTACAAATTGTAAAAATCAGAATTAATAAAAAATTGCAAATTGTAAAAATCATAATTATTAGAAATTACAAATTGTAAAATCAGAATTATTAAAAATTACAAATTGTAAAAATCAGAATTATTAAAAATTACAAATTGTAAAAATCAGAATTATTAAAAATTACAAATTGTAAAAATCAGAATTATTAAAAATTACAAATTGTAAAAATCAGAATTATTAAAATTTACAAATTGTAAAAATCAGAATTAATAAAATTACAAATTGTAAAAACCAGAATCATTAAAAAATTACAAATTTTAAAATTAGAATTTTTTAAAGTTACAAATTGTAAAAACCAGAATTTAAATTTACTTGTGAATCCTTTTCAACTGCATTGCGTTCAGAACATATACCGAAAAGTTTAACACTCTCATTAACAAAATCCACAAACTTAAGTTTGTAAAATTAATAAAAACAAACTTTAATTACAAACTTGCCTCTTCCTCAATCTTATTTTCTTGGAGTAAATTCATATCAAGTATACGCACTTGGAATCGGAAAACCATGCAATGTTTGTGACCGGGTTCGTCAAATCCAAACAAATGCTTTGCTTCATTTTGAAAAGGTTGAAACTTGACAATTGAAGCAATTAAGAGATTTAAATATTGGAAAAATAAAATTAAAATTGGGAACATGTGTATTTTTTAAATTAAATCTTCTACAACATTTTTTTTGCTTTTAGTTTTTTATTAATACATTTAGCACATCCTCTTGAGTAAAATTTAAAAATAAATGTTCCTCCTTTTCAAAAATATTAATAATAATAATATTTTTAGGACATATTGGAATTCGGCTTAAACAAAAAATAATAAAAAAATAAAAATGTATGTGCAATAATAAATGCCTACCAAAGTAGGCACTTCTCAAACACTAATTCCTCCTCCCTTAGGCGCCAAAACTTTCGATTTTTAAATATAAAATAATTTTACCAATTTTTAAAATAAAAATCAATAAAAATTTAATTGATGTTAAGATAAAAAGAAATGCAAACTTGAACTTAAAAAACTTAAAAAATAAAAAAATTAATAAACTATATTTTAAATGTAAAATTAAACAAAAATAAGTATTAATTACAAACTTGCGTTTTTTCCGCACTTATACCAAAAATAAGCTTGAATTACTTATATTACAATTTATTTATTATAATTCTAATTGTAATTCAAAAATAAACTTGGATTACAAACTTGCTTAAGTTTGTTTTAAATTCAAGTTTGTTTTTAGCCTTTAATAATAAACTTGGATCTAAAAAAATTGAAAATAAGCTTGAACTTAATAAACTTTTTTATTACAAATTATTAGAAAACTTAAGTTTGTGAAATTAATAAACATTTTGTTCAAACTTGCTTCTTCCTTTAATTCAAGTTTATTTTAAATTCAAGTTTATTTTCAACCCTTAATTCTGAAGCCTATAAATAAACTTGAATTTAATAAACTTAAGTTTGCAAAATTAAATCAAAATAAACTTGAATTTATTTTATAAACTTAAGTTTGTAAAATTAAATAAAAATAAACTTTAATTACAAACTTGCTTCTTATACTCTTAAAGCTTGAATTTAATCAACCTTTTTTTATTTTAATAATTTCAATTTAATATTATTACAATTTATCCATCCATTTTACAATTTTAATCTCTGATAGTTAAAATCGTCTGACTTGCCGCTAAAAACAAAAATCTATTTTTATGTCAAGGCCACACACCAAAAACAAATTTTATATTTTTTTACAACTAAAAGAAACATTTTAATTTTACTTTGCTCTAATTCGATAGGAAAAAACAGCCGGGTAATTTGACGACTGCGTAAAAAAGGGGGGTATTTTAGTGATTGATTGTGTGAGTAATCCGACTCTAAAAAATTTTTAAAAAAGGCATTTGAAAATAGTAAAAATCAGTCAAAATTAAATATATGAATGCGTTCAGTAAAAACAACAATTTATCCTCTCAATTCTTCCCCTTCAATTGAAAAACAAAAAAATTTTCGACAAGAAGGAAGAGATGAGGTGTTTGCCGTCCGTTTGGCACAGACTGCAACAGCCTTATTAGTTATTGTTTGCTTTTTAGGACTTCCCATATTTTGGATTCAAGTTATGTACCGGTTTAGTACAATACATTTAATCCATTTACAAAATCAACAATTGAAACAACAAAATTATTTAAGCGGGGATTTTTGTAGAATGAAGATTACACTACAAAAAAATAATAGAAGTGAGGGTAACAACATTTTTCAACCCATATTTGAAGAAGAAAATGAAGGGAGATATGAATGCGATCCGTGGGCGCATACTATACAATTATAAAAGTGCAATTTGTAAATAGATAAATACAAATATAATTAAATTGTAAAATTGTGAATAAATGTATATAAACTTTAAATAAAATTACAAACTTAAAAAATTACAAACTTATTGTTAGAACTTAAGAGTCAAACTTAAGATTGAGAATATAAATTAAACTTGGAACCTAAAATAAACTTTAAATACAAAAGTAACTAGATAATTGTAAATTACAATTGTAAACTTGAATTAAGTGTGAATCAAATAAACTTGAATTAAGTTTAAACTTGAAAAACTTGAATTAAATAAACTTGAATTAACTAAACTTAGAATTGTAAACTAGGCTTATAGTAATTTGTAAAAATTACAACTTAATTTTATTCATGTATGTATATGATTAAAATTAATAAATAGAAAAGTTAAAAAGTTGGTGTCATAAAAACTAATTAATTAATTTTTTATTTAAATAAACAATTATAAACAAAGATTGGTAAAATAAAAAAACGATAAAAAATTTCAAAATAAAAATTTTTGATCTCATGGAAGGTAATAATGGTTACCATAAGAAAATTTGGGGAGTGGAGCTTCACCTTTAAATAATTTAATTTAATAATTTATTCCTAAAAAATTTAAACATACAATTTATTTCACTTGGTCCAAGCTCGGCCTCCCCATTTAAAGCAGAGACATAATCACCGTTACCAGAATAGGCAAATTTATAATCAGCAATTGCAGCTACACAACTCATATTCCTTTTTAAATTTATAGGTAAATAAAAATACAAATTGTAAAACTTTAAAAATGAAAGACACTTAAGTTTGTGAGCATAAACTACGTAAAACTTAAAAATAAATAAATCTTAAGTTGGTAGACTTAAAATAAAGTTTATAAACTTTAAGCCTGCAAACTTAAAGTATGCAAGCGTGAAAATAAATAAACTTTAATTTTCGTAAACTTAAAACTTGTAAAACTTGAAAATAATTAAACTTTAAAAGTTTGCAAACTTAAATTACCTATGTAAACTTGAAAATAGGCAAAACGTTAAATTTGTAATTTTTGTAAAATACAAATTGTAAATAAAACTTAATTAAGATTGCAAGCTTAGAAATAATAAAACTTAAACTCTACAAATTGTAAAACTTGAAAATATCAATTTGTAAAAATCTAAACAAAAAATCTCTCCCTTTACCTTGCCATCCTAGAATAACAAACATGGGGTGTCAAACAACGAGAAACTCGTAAAGACCAATGTTCTTCATTAATTGCAATCATGCAATTATCAAAATCAGCAAAACTTTCAACTGAAGAACGTGTTAATTTTGTTTCTGTAGCAATTTTTGTAAAATTAAAATTTAATCTTAATTGCCATTGTTGTTCTAGTTTGTATTGTAATAAATCTAATTTAATTGGCCATTCATTTAAAGCAATATTTTTGAAAGAGTGGCGTAGATGGTAAAAATGGGCACGGCGACAGGGCACCCGAACCTTTTTGAAGGGGGGAATTTTTAAAATTTTTAAATTTTAATTTTCTACCTGCGCATAGCCGAAACGATGAATTCCTGTCTCGTGCATATTTACACTATCAACGCGACCTTAAATTAGAATTAATAAGTTAGGCTATAAATTATAAAAATAAGTTTATTTTTCATAGATCAAGTTTACACTTCCAAGTTTATTTAAATTAATTCAAGTTTTAAGTTTACAATTATAAATTACAATTAATTATTTTTCAAGTTTATTTTCCATAAAATTTAGAGAAAATAAATAAACTTGGAATTTTAAGATTGTAATTGTAAACTTCAATTTCAAGTTTATTTATTTCCTTTTATTCAAGTTTGCAATTTAATTCCAAGTTTATTTTTCAAAACAAGTTTTACGATTCTTTTACAATTTCAAGTTTATTTAAATTAATTCAAGTTTTAAGTTTATAATTATAAATTACAATTAATTGTTTTTCAAGTTTATTTTCCATAAAAAATTAGAGAAAATAAATAAACCTGGAATTTTAAGCTTGGAATTGTAAACTTCAATTCCAAGTTTATTTATTTTTTAAATTCAAGTTTATGATTTAATTCCAAGTTTATTTTTCATAAAACAAGTTTTACAATTCTTTTACAATTTCAAGTTTATTTATGTATTTCCCTTTTAATTCAAGTTTTAGTTTACAATTTTAATTTATTATTAATTTTTATTTTTTACTTGCATTAACGACAACCCTCGTTTTCATTCTCCAAATTTTACATTTAGTTTTCCAACGAGTTTGATGGAGAAATGAAAAATTAAAATCAGCTAATGATTGGTATAGCTCTCCCGGAGCTGTTTCTGGTGGAACAAACTTAAAAAAAAATTTTTGTTAATTTATTTTAAATTTTTTTGGGTTTGCCTGAACATCCCTATGTTCAAAAAGAAGAGAACCGGCATTTGGATGTTCACGAAATAAGCTCTGAAAATTTAGGAAAATAATTTTCAACTAACAATATGATTTTTTACCCTCAATATTTCTATATTTACTCCAGAATGAATTCTCATAGGATCCAATGGCATTAACCTTTAATAATTAATTTTTTTTAATTTTTAAAAAATTAAATTTTAGAAGTTGAGTTACAAATTGTAAAAATAATTTTATATTTTTAATAAATCAATTTTACAATTTTAAGGTTATTTCTATTATTTATTTCAAGTTTGTAATACATACATATTATAATTAATTTTTTTTCAAGTACAATTCCAAGTTTATTTTTTAAACCAAGTTTTAGGTTTGCAATTCCAAGTTTAATTTTTATCAGGTTTTACAATCTTAAGTTTATTTATGTTTGTTCAAGTTTTAAGTTCAAGCTTTAATTAATTCAAGTTTTACAATTATAATTTACAATTTGTAATTCTTTTATTATTTTTTATTGCTTTACAATTCCAAGTTTATTTAATTTTCCTTAAGTTTACAAACTTTAATTTTATTTTAAAAATAATATTAAAAGTATTAATATTTACATATCATCAATATCCGTAAAAACAACCATCTCAGCAAACGGTTTAACAAAATGTAAACAATTAACATGGGATTCTTCAATGCCTCTAGACAATACTAAACCATTCGGATTTACATCGGAAAGTAAAGGCCCTTTAATTTTTTCATTTTTTAAATTAAAAAAATTTTTTAAAAATTACATTTAGGCCATTTTCTTAGGTGAACAATGCCTTTAAAAATTAATTTTTCCATTAAAAAATCCCCCAAAAATTTTACCAATGCGTTCATACTCTTTCAAAATTAAAACAGTATCAGCAGAGGCTGATTGTATTGGAAATATCTTCAAATTAAATTTTTTAAAAATTAAAAAAATTATTCCCGTACTATTTTTTGTGCTCCCAAAGCTATCCATGATTCTATACCCATCAACATTATTTGCCAGTCTGTATACTTTAAAAGAGAAATTTTGATTAAAATTATTTTTTTTAGTTTAAAATTTGGATGAATCTAGAATTTAACCCCATTATCGTTATAACCTATCTTGCGAGGAATAGTCATTTATGATTTTTGGTGTAAGGAAGCTCCAGCTTGCTAACATTTAAAGAGCAAACTAGGCAGGTGTTTAAGATTTATTAAGTGTGAAGACCCGTAGCGCTCCGATAGCTCAGTCTGTAGAACACCTGTACGTGGTGAGCGAAAGCTTCTAGCAATAGGAGTTCGCAGGATCGGTACCTGCCCGGGACTAAGCTTTACCCCTTCCCCATCACTCGCCCTACTAAAAATTTTTTTTATTAAAATTTTGGGTCTATAACCGATGGGGTTATAGGAAGTCAATTTTAAAAATTAAACTCCTTCAAAAAATTAACAAAATCCCTTTAAATTATTTCTTTATTTATCACCGTATACATAGGCGCAATACAAACAACTAGTGGATATTTCCTTCCCCCATTAAAATAAAGGGGTTCTTCTAACTGAACGGAAATTGACCGTTCTTTTAAATTTGATAAGTCAGTGGTGGATAATAAATTTCCGTTTGTTGTTAGTCTAAAAATTTTTTTTCTAAATTTTAAAAATATTTCTTAATTCTCGCCTTATTGAATTTACATCTGCCGATCCAATTTTACACTCCGCTAAATGACCGCTCCACGAACACAAGTCGTTAGCTGCACGTTTCCCCTTGTGGATACGTTCTATATGTGCTCTGGTTATTAGCTTTTCCCCGTTGTTATTTTCACTAATACAAAATAGGGTGTGTGTTTGACGTCCATCCCCAAGGAATTGGATTACCTGTAAAAGGGTAGAAATTTCAGAATAATAAATTCGAGATCAGAATTTTAATTAAACTTGATCAGAATATGTGAAAATAAACTTAAATATAGAAAAATAAACTTGGAAGAAGAAAATTAAATAAACTTAAAAAATCAGAATTTCTAAGATAAAAAAAAATAAACTTGAAATTAGAAAATAATTAAACTTAGTATCAGAATTTATAACGACAAATAAATAAAAAATAAACTTGATAGGAGAATCCTAAGTAAATAAACTTAAATCAGAATTTGTAAAATTAAAATCAGAATTTGTAAAATTAAAATCAGAATTTGTAAAATTAAAATCAGAATTTGTAAAATTAAATCAGAATTTGTAAAATTAAAATCAGAATTTGTAAAATTAAAATCAGAATTTGTAAAATTAAATCAGAATTTGTAAAATTAAAATCAGAATTTGTAAAATTAAAATCAGAATTTGTAAAATTAAAATCAGAATTTGTAAAATTAAAATCAGAATTTGTAAAATTAAATCAGAATTTGTAAAATTAAAATCAGAATTTGTAAAATTAAAATCAGAATTTGTAAAATTAAATCAGAATTTGTAAAATTAAAATCAGAATTTGTAAAATTAAAATCAGAATTTGTAAAATTTAAAATCAGAATTTGTAAAAATAAAATCAGAATTTAAATTAAAATCAGAATTTGTAAACCTAAAACTTAATAAACTTGAAGCAGAACTTTAATTAAACTTGTATCAGAATATTTAAAAATAAACCTAGGTTAATAGAAAAATAAACTTGAAATCAGAATTTAAATTAAAATCAGAATTTTTAAAATAAACTTGCTCAAAAACTTAAAATCAGAATTTAAATTTAAATCAGAATTTCACGATTTAAAATAAGAATAAACTATACCGCATAATCCCCTTCCACATTCTGTTCTTCTTTAAGTCTGTGGAATGCCCCTAGAACAATAGGCCTTCTTCCAATATTTTTAGACATAAATGTGTCACCAAGATTTTTTAATGCCCACAGATTTGTAGTACGATGATAAAGAGCAAATCCAAAAATAATTCCAGAAATGACCGAAAAAATATTTTTTAATTAAAAACCAGAATAATAATCTCATTACAATAGTTAAACGAAAAATCAAAGCAATTCCCCACAAAGCCGTTTTTCGTAAAACCAGAACATTTGAAAAGCGAAAAATGCCGGAAGGTGAAGTAGTAGAGGTAGAAGGATGGTCGTTAAAGAGAGGTTGATAATAGATGGGGGAGGAAAATAGGGGAAATAAACTGCCAGGACAACAACGAGTGTTTGGTTGAATTAACATTTATTTTTTGTTGTATCAGAATTGTATTTAATTTAATTCAGAAATAATAAATAAACTTGTTAGTATAAGAAGAATAAAATTGAAAATAAACTTAATTAAAAATAAAACTGACATAATAAATAAACTTAAGAATAAACTTGAAGATAAACCTAAGAATGAACTTAAGAATACAACTTAGACTTAAAAATAAACTTGAGAATAAACTTGGTTGAAAATAAACTTAAGACTGAAATTAAAAATAAACCTAACCTAATAAATAAACTTAGAATAAACTTAAGCATGAACTTAAGCATGAACTTAAGAATACAACTTAAACTTAAAAATGAACATAAAATAAACTTAGTAATAATAAACTTGAAACAAACTTAGTTAAGAATAAACTTAAGCATGAACTTAAAAACAAACTTGAGAATAAGCTTAGACTTAAAAATGAACTTAATAATAAACTTGGTTAAGAATAAACTTAAAAATAAACTTGGATTAAATAAACTTTTCCAAGTTGCAAGCAAAAAATTAAACTTAAACATAACAAGAAATAAATTGAAAACTTAACATTAAAATATAAAGGTTGTTTAATTAAATATGTATGTAATTAAAACAACGCACTAAAATTCCCGATTTAGATATAAATCTTTATTAAAATCGATAAAATAAAGTAAATTTATGTTCGCGCTATATCCATTCAAATCCCCCCTTTTTAAATCAAAAATTAAATGGCTGCAACTGGTTATTGGTCATTTCACAAGACAAAAGTTTTCACTTTTTTTCTGTTAAAATATCTAGACTAACCAAAATTATATTTTTTTAATGTTTAACATAAACATGGGATTTAAATTGTTTATTTTTAGAAAAATAGATTAACGTTGATCAAGATTATAGGTAAAATTGAAGTTTGTTTCATAGCTAATTAGACAATAAAGAATTAGTTTTAAATTTAACGTAAACATGTAGGAAGTGAGAAAAGCGTCACATTTTTATAAGATAAAGGATTCCCATTTAAGGTTAATTTATCGAGTATTTTCTTCGTGGGCAAACAACAAAACAAATCTTACTTGTAACCTTTTGTGGGATTATCGCTCAAGTCTCCCCCACTATTAACACTCTGAGACAAGAAAAAGAAAGGGGGAACTTCAATTTTACCAAAATATATATAAAAGATGAGAATTAATTAAAGATAAAAATAAAGGCCGATTAAAAAGTTTTAATTTTTGAAATTCTTCCTTAAAAATATTTATTTTACAAATTCATGCTTCTTCATTCATTGCTTCTTCATTCATTGCCTCATTCATTATAAACTCAAATACTCGACGATCTTTCTGAGGGATATTATTTGATATAAATAAATAATGTTGTTCTGCCACATCCCGTTTATCTGAAAATATTATTGTTAAGCATGCAAAAATCTTAGAAGTATAGAATATAAAAAAATAATTATTCACGTTAAAGATAAAGAGGGTAATTAATATTCAATTTCGTACCCCCCCTCCTTTTCCCTTCTTCAAAGTATTATAAAATGGTCAGTCAGACTTAGATTATAGAACTCGTCGAGCTGTGTCGAATGACACCAAAATCAAAAAAATTGGACTCGATTTGACCGAGATACAGACCCCTAAAAATTGAACAACCATAGGGGCGATTTTTTGAAATAAAAAAATTTTATCCAAATGATAGCTCATTCGAAAGAGCTCGTCAAGATGAGTCGAAAGACACCAAAATCAACGTGATTAGACATGGTTTGACAAAGTTATGCCATTATGTAGACCAAACGGAGTCGGCGACTTATGTCATAACTTTGTCAAATCTTGTCCAATTCTATAATCGACCAATTCTATAATCTAAGTCTGACTGACCATTTTATAATACTTTGAAGAAGGGAAAAGGAGGGGGGGTACGAAATTGAATATTACCATAAAGAGATATTAAGAAATTTGGAGGAATATCTAGTGATTTTAAGGGAAATCAATAATTTAAAAGGATCAAGGTAATTAATGAAATTTGGATAGGTTAAAAGGAATCTGGACATTTTATCCGTAGCCGACGTTTCTTTGGTCAGGGTTTATAGTAAGAACTAAATGTATTTGTTTGTAAACAGTTGCCCATCGAAAAAATATTAAAATAAACCCAATCCTTTTTTCATTTTTTAAATTTAATTTTTTCTCTAAAATGATCCGAAAATGTCGATCCGCAAATGTCACACTATGAAAATGGGTACGGCCCAAGTAGGCGCGCGGCCAAGTAGGCGCAAAGTCATAACCTCCTTCAAAATTTCCGAATCTTACCAAATTTGGTATTAAACGATTCCTCTCATCGAGTTAAAGAGATTGGTACCAAAATTGTTAAGGTTTATAAATTTTTCAGATAGTTATGGCTTTGCACCTACTTGGCTGCGCGCCTACTTGGGCGTGTCCCTATAAAAAGATCTTCTATCTTTAGAAATAGACCTTTTAGAAATGGAATCGCCTACAAGTGTCTATAAGAGGACCCGTCGCTTAGATTAAATTAGAGTTGATTATACAATCAAACCGCGTAAATTTCAATTCTAAAAATTACCAGGAAGCCAATTTTTTATGCTATAAAAATCAACAAGAAAATCATTTTGATCATCGATAACCAAATTATTAATTATTTCCAAGAAATGAGAGTAAATTGAAGTTATAGCCCCAACTTTCTCAACAAAACAAGGTTGTAACTAAAAAAACAAAAAATATAAGTTATATGTAAAATTAATAAAACTTCTGATTTTAGACGCGGATTTACATCCTCAGGCCACTCATACAAAGGTAATGTCAGAATCTAGAATTTTTATTAATTTTTATAATTGAATAAGGAAAGCCTTCGACACCCCATACGCCAGCCAAACTATGTATTACGACTAAAGAGTTGCTTCATAAGCACATTTAGCCAAATCTAAACGCATCTTTTGAAACTTTAAAACATTCTCAGAAAATACTTCCTTTGAATCATAATTAAAATCTTTATCTGATTATCATGCACTGACTTGCCATTTTGTCACTTAACATTTTCACAAAAGAAACCCTGTCTTAAATCACACTCCATAGCGAATTAACAAAAAATTTATCAAAACATTATCAGGTATTGAGCATTAATGACTTAATGACGTAAAATGAAAGAAAACATTATTTAAAATCATGTCATGTGCCTTAACCACATCAACATTCCGCTAAAATCTGATTCAAAATTCAACACATCAGCTACTTAAAAAGCGAACAAAAACCGCATAGCATAGAAAAGTAAAGAAAAAGAACTGGCACTCCTAAAAGCGACTGACTTAACACGGGAACGTTGAGCAACAGCAGCGATTGGTTTAAAAAAGGATCAATGAGTACAAGCTCAACAACGAGCTCAACAACAAAAAGCCCAAGCTAACTAAGCAAGCGTCTTCTACATCGACTGACTTGGCAAGGAATGTTGAGCTGCGGCACACGTTCAGAAGAAAGGTGACGCTCTAAAGGTAGCGTTTGATGAATGGAGAGTTTAAATAGTACCCAGTCAGGCTTATTTCAAAATCAAAACACAACTCTGACTGCTTCAACATTCCAAGTTGCAATGCTTTACTAATAAAGCCACCATTTTCAAACTTCTAAATCAAACTCACACAAACAAACAGACACAAAATCGGCCTGCATATAAAGACTGACCATTTTGTACAATGTCCGGGGTCAAATTCCGAATTCGGGTCCGGGATTCGGCTTTTTCAAAATACGAGCTCAGATTCGTAATCAGTATATTTTTTACCCTAGAAAAATCCTTTTTCTTATTTTTAAACTTTTTTTCGGAGAAACCCCAATTCTCCGGGATTGCCACAAAATCCATAATAATACTATAATTAGATTATAAAACTTTTAGGATACTAACGTCTGAAGTGCGAACAAATCCAAGTATACCAGTTGGAATATCTAAAATTTAAGTTTTGCTTAAAAAAGCAATCAATAATACCTTCAAGACGCACGTTTAACTCAGCCAAAGGTTTTTTATGTAAATAAGATGCTGCTTGTCTCATTGGATTTTGAAAAATCCAAATAATCCGATTTAAAGCAGTAATGATTTCATTTTTATACTGAAAATTAAAATTTTAGGGGTACAGCCCAAAAGGGGCCATAACGGCGCAAAGCCATAACTTACTAGAAAATTTTTGGCTTTTATCAATTTGGGTATGGTTTTGCGCCTTTATGGGCACAAAAATTTTAGAAGTTAGTTTTTTAATTTTTCCTTTTATATAATTTTTTTCAAAGTGCTAAACCTACTTTTTTAAAAAGAATTATCCATTGTTTAAAAATTTTAATAACTGAAAAATCGAATATTCTAGATACTCGAATTTTTGTCAATTTTGGATTAAAATGAAAAAAATTAATAATTTCAATTAATTGTTCGGAGGGTAAAATAATTTTATTTTTTTTCATTTTATTTTTGTGAAGGAGTCAAAAAATTTGGAAATTGAAATTAAAACTGGGAGCAGAATTAACCAAACGACGTGAAATTAAATACTCAATTCGGCATAAGCTAGGGGTGTGTTTTGAATTTTTTAGTTTCCCATTCCCCAACACTGGGTACATCCCAAAACGGCGCCGGCCATGACGGCGCAAAGCCATAACTTGCTGGAAAATGTCTTGCCCTTGTCAATTTTGGTACCAATCTCCCTAGCTCGATGTGAGGAATCGTTTGATACTAAATCTGGTAAGATTGGGAAATCTTGAAGTAAGTTATGGCTTTGCGCCGTTACGGCCGCGCGCCGTTTTGGGCGTGTCCCCCATACTATGTCGATATTCCTCCTTAATTAATTTCACACTATTTCCCTATGGCATTCTTAATGAGAGAAAAAATTCAAAATTCAAAGGATCACATTTCATAAAAGAAATCAATTATGCCAGTGAAAGACTGCTGGGAATGCCAGCAAAACACCCCCTAATCTTTCTTCTCATTTTACCTTCCTAGACAACCCTTTCCCCAAATTATTTAAACTTTAGGTGTGTTTTTCTGAGTTCTTTTGGGGTAAAAATTTAAAATTTTCCCTTTAAATTTTTAACTTTAGGGGAGTCTGTATCTCCTCTTTCACCTAAAAACGAGAATTTTCCGTTTAGATTTTTGATATTTTTTAGACGTTGCTCTTTAAAAAAATCAATATTTTTTTAGATCTTATTAGTTTTTAACAATTAAAATAATGCCTCAAAAAGACGAAAATTTATCACAAAATGAGGACTTAACAGCCGAACATTTGAAGAATTCAGGAAATGAACTTTTCAGTTTGGACAAGTTTTCTGAGTCTGTTGATAGTTATAGTCAAGCATTGGCATTGAAACCGGACAACAAATTGAGGTTAACTCTTTTGAAGAATAGAGCGATGGCCAGACTTAAATTGGAAGACTTTGAGGGAGCTGAAAGTGATTGTGATGAAGGTTAGTGGTTTTTTAGAAAAAATTTGGGGAGAATTTTGGGGTTTTTTTTTTTAAATTTTTAAGGTTTTAAAATTATTTTTCACAGTTGTTTAACGTTCCGACAGGGGAAAATTTCATTTTTTTGATTTTAATGACTTATGATTTCAAACTTTAATTTTGTCCAATTAAAAAAAATTTTTTTGTAATTTTTAAAATTTAAAAAAAAATTTTTTTTCAGCATTAAAATTGAGCCCAAATGATGCCAAAGCATTGTATAGACGAGCACTTGCAAGAGAGAAACTGGATAAAATTGGTTCGGCATTTACTGATGCAAAAGAAGCTTTGAGACTTTTGCCTAATGACAGGTTTATTTTTTTGATTCTTAATTTTTAATAAAAATTTCATTGAATTTAACGGGAAACTAAAAGGTTCGATGCCTGGCCACAAATTTGTTTTGTTTACAAAGGGGAAAATATTTTTGCGCCCCCTTCCCAAAATTTTTTCTTTTTCCCCATTTCGGGGGGAGGGGGAATTCCCCCCTGGCTACGGGTTTGGTCGTTTAACTTTTGGGTCCGCAATTTAAAAAATAATTTTTTTTTCAAAGGTCCTTAACTGAATTGTGTGCTCGACTAGTTAAATCAAATTCTGAAAGATTAAAACAAACAGAAAGCACTGAAAGCAAAACTAAAGAAATGATGAAATTGGCTTTTGAAAATGGTGGAAAGGAGGGGGAAATGCAAATTAAGGTTATTTTTTTGGAAAAATTTGGGAAATTTTTTGAAAAGTTTTTTGGGGTTTTTGGACTATTTTTGAGTATTTCAACGTCTCTATGGGTTTTTTAAATTAAAAAATTTTTTTCTAGGCTTTAAATAATTTATTGGTTCTTTGCCGCGATTCTGCAGACGGCGCCAACAAAGTGTGGAATAATGGAGAAATTGTAACTCAACTTTTGTCAATTATTATAAATGTGGAGAAAAATTCTGATAATGAAGCGTTAGCGGCTGTTCGAGTTCTGTCTGAATTGACTGGAAAATCGAGAGAAAGGGTTTTTATTTTTTATTATTTTTGATTTTGATCATTTTCTTGTTTGAAAAATTTTTGAATTGACCGGGAATAATTAGGAAAATAGACAGGGATAAGATTAAGAGTTTTCTATTTATGTTAGTTTATGTCTCCTCGCTTTTTTCAATTTCTCTAGATTTTTATAAATGTTTAAGTCCAACTCTTTCTAGTTTTTTTATAGTTCATCGTCTGGCCAAGACTGGGGTTTTCATGCCCAATAGCCCGTAAACCGAGTATTATTATTAAATTCAGGTTTTTATCGAGGTTAGAGGTTTTAGGAATATTGACCTGGGGCTTTTCAAAAAAAACTTGCAATTTGAAAATTTCGAACTATCATATTGGGGAATAATCTTTCAAAACAATTTTTTAAAAGGCAATTCAAACAATGGAACTTTTCGGTGGTGCCCAAATTCTTACACGTCTGATAGCAGCTAGAAAACCTTTAGTATTTGTGGAGGCTGCGTCAACAGTCATTCAACATGTATTTAATGGACTTGCTGCAATGGATAGATCAAAAGAGATTAAACCGTGTGCTGAAACTGTTGAGAAAAATAAATGTAAGAGAGGGAAGTGAAATTTAAAAAAGTCTTTTAGAAAATATTAAAGGGTTTTAGCTTTAAGATCATTTTTTATGAGACCAGTGAGGGAGTTTTTTGTGACCGTTTAGGGGGTGTGGGGTTCGAACCCCTTCAAGACCCTTTCGATTTTTATTTTATTTCTTTGTTAAATTTATTTTTTTATAGGCTTATCTTTATCTTCGGAGCGTTTTATAACACTAAAAGCTTGAAATAACAAAACCCCAAAATCCCTTGAAATACCAAATGTCAAATACCAACCACGGGGGATTTTCGATTAAGAAAAATTTTTTTCCAAAAATTTCAGTGCCAATTTTATGTGTTGGAGGGGAAGGGTGTAGGTAGGGTTCGATACCGTTCAGCGCCCTCTATTTTTAACTGCTGTTTCCTATCTTATGAAATTTAAGTTTCTAGTCTAATATTTATTTAAAAAACGTAATTTTAAAATTTTCAGGCATTTTATCTTAATTTTATTATTTTTTTCAAAAATTTAAGTGCCAATCCTCCGTATAATTCTTGAATTGGAAGAAATGTTGACAGACCCAAAATTTGATGTTTTTGTTAGAGAATGTGTAATTGATTTGCTAATGAAGAATTTAATGCATATGGATGGGGGATTGCCTAGAGGATGGTCTTGGCGTTTTATTGAAGGAAGGGGACTTTATAGAATGTTACATTTGGCTACTCAAGTACCCGAATTGTGTGATTACCCAGTTTCTGCTGAAACACGCCAACATGTGGCTATTTTTCTTACTCGTTTATATGATGATATGGTTAGTTTTTCTTTAATTTTTCTGTTTAAATTATTGTTTTTAATTTAAAAATTTAAAATCCGCAAGTTTAGTCCGCAAATTTAATTTGCAAGTTTAGTCCGCAAATTAAATCTGGGTAACTTTTCCGCAAATTTAATTTGCTAATTCGCGCATTTTTCCCTTTCTATCCTCCCTATTTTGCGGCACAAAATGAGTTTTCCGCAAATTTTGTGTGGACAAAAATAGGTTTTATGCAACTTTGTTGCGGACAACAA